GCCGATTTTTTGGACATTGTATGTTGATTGCATAACGAAGCAGATCACCAGAATGCTTCGGGGGCGTCTGCGATGTTTCATGTTTTTCCTTGCATGGTTTTAATGTTTTTCATTTATCGTTCTTTTCCTTTGTCTTGTTCATATGCATATCTACATCACGCAGTCGCTGTCTCTTGGGAGTAGCGCCCGTGCATGTAAGAGGAATGATTTATTAATACTATGATGTGAACTCGGCGGCCGGACTTGTCATGGCGGCCGGGAAGCAAGGCAGCTGCAAGGAGTTGGTCCTGCGTAGGACAAACTTGCAGCAGCCTCGGGGGAGGAAGAGAGGTAGAATTAAACGAGATAGGAAACCAATGAGAATATTGATTGATACGCCAGTGGTCCTACCTAGCAGTCTCCCTGTAAGTTCTGTTCTGTAATTCTAAGTTCCATCCATGCCTTCCAACCAGGGGGTGTGAACGAGTCAAAGTCAATGGGGGGAGGTGGGCCGCGAGGATTCGCAGCAGCAATCGGAGGGATCGGATGAATATGCCTGGCCTGGCAGCCTGACGGAGGTACATCCCGCTCTTCCTGCCTTAATTCTCGTGTACAGTACTGTACTGTACTCAGGTAACGAGGGAATTGAGAACTTCAGGTCATGCACGATGCTAAATCTGGGCCGCAAGCCACTTTGCCCCTCGTGTGTGTGTGTATGTGTGGCTGACGTTATGGTGCTGGCTGGGTTCCCTGCAGTATCTAAACCCCACTCCAAGTGAGAAAAGGAAAGGAGAGAGAAAGAAAGAAAGAGGGGAGGAGAGAAAGCCTGCTAGGGGAGTTACTAGTTTTCGGAGCAATGTTTCCAGGGACGCCCCATTCGTCTCCCCTCTTTTATCTCCTAACTCTTCTTTCTCCTGTCTTGTGCTCCCAACCCTAGGTCAGGTACTTGTATTGTACCTTACACAGCATCTTCAAGTCAGTCCAAAGTGTTACTCGAAACCGAAACATGCATATCTGCTGAGTCCAGTACATGGACTGTGACTGGAATTCAATTGAATGAAAAGTTACTGAGTAAGTTAGATTTACCCCGGATCAACCCTGGATGATTGTTGATGATTGATGGACAATCCCCGCTAATCCTGATCAGGGAACAGCCGCCCCCCACCCTGCGCACGTGGCTGTCTCAATCATTTCTGTAATTTCCGTACTGTTATCTTTCCCGTCTCTCTGGTATTGAATACCAGTATTGTTACTTACTGTCTGGTATGGCGGGCGGGCGTCTGGACCGACGTCATCTGTTGGTCCATTTCGGCAGGCGGTCAGCAGCCTCAAGCTGGTGCTTTATCGGCGACCCGAACTGAACCACGAAATTATTCCCCGGGGCAAAGCATGCGCTTGCTGAGACCTCTCTCGCCATTTCAGCCATCGTTCGTCGATCTTCGAGGCTTTATTTTCACGGTATCAACGAGTGCGACGTGAAATACAATTGAAGGCTATCATCTGGCTCTGGATTGCTATTTCGTGGTGGGGGCTCTTCCGGGCGAGAGTGACCGACTTTAGCTGCGCGTTGCGGATAGTTCTTCAACCTCACCTCGCTCCTCCCGATCGGCTAGCCGGTTGTCTCTAAACAATTCTTGGGATCCCCGGCTTAGATTCCAGTGCATCGCTCGCGCATCATTACAGCTACTGCCGTCACTGCTGTATCACAGGTTCCTTGGAACGAAAGGCTCTTTTATTCTGCAGGAGCTGTCCTTAATACCTCAGATTACCCATTATCATGAATCCCTCAAGAGGCCGAGGGCTGGGACAACGAAGCCCCCATGTCCTGGTAAGTTGCCACCGATCTTGTCGCTTCTCTTCCGGACTTCTAGTTCCCTACACGTTGATACTCACTGTATGCTCCCCTTGGAACTAGGTAACCGACTCGCGCGATCAACAAATATCCTCCCAACCCCGCCGCCGTCGCTCTCCCGCAACCCGCTTCATCACCGTCGACAACGTCCTCCAATACACCTCCGACGTGCCCTCCATGCAACAACGGTACACGCCGCAGGGCGCCCGGACGCGGCCCCGCTCCCGCATCGCATCAGCCGCCGGCGGACTGATCGGGGCCGCGGCCGGCGGAGCGGGCTCCTCCAGCGGCGGCAGCATCGGCGCAGCCAGCGGCAGTGCCGCGGCGGCGACGATCCGACGCCTGGCCGCCCAGCCGCGGCTCCCGCCCCGCACCACCAAGGTCAGCGAGAAGCTCGTCCTGCTCCCCGAAGCGGACGGGAGGCTGCCGGAAGACGACGAGGACGAAGGCGAGGAGGAGGACGAGGAGGCCGTGGACGAGGAGTTCGTGCAGCGCGTCGCCCGGGATAAGAACCTGGACCCCGAGGCGGTGCGGCAGACCCTCGTCGCGCAGAAGAAGATGCGGCTGGACGGCGCGGACTTTGGCGTGGACAACGATATCGCGCCGCTGCTGGCGGACGAGGAGTTGCTGCGCAAGCGCAAGGTCGCGCCGGAGAAGGCCAAGAGCTACGCGGAGCGTTTGCCCAAGGCCCGTCGCGCCGAGAAGCTGGCGCGGGTGACGGCCTACTGCACGGCGCAGGCGTACAAGATGAGCTCCTTGGCCTCGTTTGTGAAGGAGAGGCATGGCGGCCGCACGAAGCTGTATGACGATTGTTTGTACACGGCGTATCATCTGCCGCTGTTGCCGGGTCTGGATGGGTACAGGTTGAGGAGTAGCCCCATGGTGAAGAAGCCGGGCGGGAAGTCGATCCTGGATGAGGAGATCGAGCGCAATGAGTTGCGGGATCATCACGAGGATTATCTGGTGGATGCGGAGGAGCATTCGGTTGTTGGCGGACGCCATGAGCACCGGTCGTCGCATCAGCAGCACAGTGAGGCGCAGCGACACGGGGATGAGGAAGAGCACCACCCGCAACAGGAGGAACAAGAGGAACATCGTTCCGTGCCTGGCTCCGAGGCGCAACCCTTCATGGGTGACGTTGATGGCTCGGGTCATCAAGCTCCAGCGGACGCGACGGCCGTGGCGGCACCAGCAGCCACACGTCTGCCGTATAATGTCGCGGAGATGTTCGTGTTTAGCTACGGAGTAGTGGTGTTCTGGAACTTCACCGAAAAACAGGAGAAGGATCTCCTCGCCGATTTGGCATTTGCAACCTCGTCCGTGACCGGGTCTCCAATCCCGTTGGCGACTTTGCCCCTGCAGGAGGAAGATTTCGAGACGGAGGAGTTCCATTTCGAGTACTCGACGGAGATCTCTCGCCCGCGCGTTTACAACGACATGATCACTCTTCGCAGCGGCGACCACATGATCAAGTTGGCCATCAGTCATGGTATCGCACAAAGCACCAAGCTCTGCTTCTTCGAAGAAGTTATGGCTCGCCAGATGGCCGAGGCCAAGGACGTCCCCCGCCGACTCGCCATGACAGGCAACCTTGGCATGAAACGAGAGGAAGTGTTCCGCATTCTGGGCAGTTTGTTTAAAAGCCGCGTGGAAGTGAACCTGTGTACGTTTGTTCGCACTTGAGCCAATCTTCCATTCAAGTCTCACGCACTGACAATCCAAACCAGCATCCAACGTTCTCGACGTTCCCAACTTCTTCTGGGAAAGCGAACCGACTCTGTACCCCCTCTATATTGCCGTGCGCGAGTACCTCGAGATCAAGCCTCGGATTCAAGTTCTGAACGAGCGCTGTAAAGTCTTCCTTGACCTGGCGGAGATTCTTTCCGACTCGATCGCCGACAACAAAACCTCCCGTAAGGCCGACACCTTCCCAACCCACCCTTTACACAAACGTCTCCCAAGTATGAGATCTGATAATAACCGTGACAACCAAAACACAGATCAAACATGGATCATCATCGTACTCATCTGCGTCTCCATCCTCGTCACCACCTTCGAAGTCTTCCTCCGATTCGGCCTCCTCTCCTCCCGTGAAGGAGGTGCCTCAGCCACAGCTACCACACCTATAAGCTCTCTCGCAGCCAATGTCCTCGCCCGGGCCATAGGTGGCAGCAGCAGCAACCCCGCGTGCGCATGCTCATGTCCCGCTCAATTGCCCGGTAACGGATTGATGAACACCACACCGCCAACCATGGGATCACCTTACTAGGAACTGGAGGAAGCCAGAAAGAGAAACCCCCCTCTTGTCTCCTATCTACCTTCCCAACGGCTTCTTAATGCCTCCAATCTAGCGCCCAGGATCCCGACACTGAACTAATCCTCCGAACCCGATCCCGAAACCGGTGATCACGCTCTACCCACTTCCATGTCCTGTACTCGGTCATGTGACACCATCCCACCCCTTTGGTCCTCAAGGTACACCTGGCCCAAGGACTGAACAAACACCACTGTACATCCGAGACAACGACCGCCCCCTCAAACTCAACACCTCAAATCCCACTCAGGCACCCAGGCACAGGGGAACAGGAAGCACCAAACCATCCCAAGAACGGTCCCTTTCTCCTCTCCCCCCCACCCAGCCCTTCTCTCTTCCTCTCTTCCTCTCTTCCTCTCTTCTTGTTTTTTTTTTCATTTTTTTTTTCATTATTCCTATTCTCCTACCGCGGTAATCCAAGTGATATCAATTAGGCAAGCACAGCAGGCTTCTGATTCTCGGTTTTGAACTATCTGCTCTCTCTCTTTCTGTCCAAATTAAGCTTCCCCTTTTTCCATCAGGCCCAATTTTTCATTGGTCTTTGCGTATCGCGCTGCATATCACGAATCCTACTGCTATGGTAGCTTTGTTCGAACCCCCTAGTCCCAAAATGGAAGTGGAAGATAAACCAAACCCAAGCCTTGATATGTAGACCGTTGTTTTCTGTGGTTTTGTCGAGGTAACCTTAAAGGGGAGGTCTGGTTATAGTACTCCCAAGCTTAGGTGACGTCATCGCGGCTTGTGTACGCACATCGACGGAGCAACTACCGTACTGCAACTCTGAACGGAAGAGCGTCCCATGCTTTGAAGAGCCACGCAGAATTCTTCTTACGAACGCTTGAGAGCAGGATGGGATAAAATCTCTAGAGCACAGATTGATTATGTAGTAGTGAGTGGGAAGGGTATGTATGTAGTATGCAAACAATCGATATCTACAAATCGGGATTGATGCCGGTGCGAGGGAGGTAAGGTACGGGCAGGAGTGACAAATGAGACAAGGGAAAAGGGAAAAACCCACAACAAATGAAACAAGGGAACAGAGGGGAGCGCAAGAACAAATGCGGATGCGAAAATTAGGTATAGAACAATGCAGATGGATGATAGATGAAGAAAAAAGTCCAGACCAAAGAAGACACAGATGACACCCATAGAAACCCCATGCAGCCGAGCCTTGAGCCAAATGATAAACAACCTTTTCCAACTCTATCTATGCTTCCACGTCCGGGTCGTTTCGCCATTGGGAAAGAACAACAAGTAATCAAAATGAAAAGGGGGAAAGGGGAAACAGACAACAATAACAATCAGCCAGGACTCCATCCAGTGCTCTTTTCCAGACCCACACTGGTGTATGCTATGATGATGTTGCTAGCAAACCTATCAACAGAAACAAACAGATGCCAGGATGATGATGATGATGATGATGATGATGATGATGATGATGATGATGATGATGATGATGATGATGATGATGATGATGATGATGTAAAGGATGTAAAGGATGAGTAACAATGTGGGAAATGCTAGGGAATTCATCGACGCAACAAAGGAAATGTAACAAAGGAAATAGAAAAGCAAACTTGGATGTTTGACTCCACCGGTGGTAAGGTGTGCAAGTCATCCCTCTGGAGAGCTCCATGGCTTCCGGTCACTTGAATACTTCAAACATACGGCCCTGCCGTTTGCTCAAGCAATCCAGTAGACTGCCACACTAAATTGGAGTGGACCATGCACTGTCACCAAGTCTAGGCTTCATTTCATAGTTGTCCGGTTCGGTGCTGGCAGGTCGTCTGATGGTCGAGCTCGGGAAGTACATGTGGGGAGGCATAGAGCTCGCATACGCCGCACCGCTCGGCTCAGGATAACCAAAGTCGGTAGCAGAGCCGGGAGAAGGGATGCTGGAATGCGACGGGGAAGCCCAGCCCAAGCTAGTCATATGCGGGCTACCACTGACGCTGTTGGGCCGGTGATCGTTGTTGGCAGGCGGCTCAAGCGGTTGAGGGGGCCCATAGCCCGAGGGATGCGAAGTCATTGAAGGTCGAACATGCGGAGCACTGCCATAGCTCGACAAGGAGGGCGACGTGGCCGTGGGAGAAGCTCGGGGGCTAACCTGAGGGAAGCCACCTCGGACATGGGGCGGAATGGAACCGTTGGTCATGTAGTAGTCGGAGCGGGGCATATTTAACGGAGGCAGATCGCCAACAGGCGAAACAGGATGATGCGCTGGTGAAGGGGTCGAATGAACTGAGCAATGGTCAGAGAACATATCCCCTGAGACTCTCGCCCGCTCCTTGTTCTGCCTCAGATTGGCTTCAGTCTCGGCAGCGGCCTCTTCAATGGTCCCAGTGTGGTGATTTTGATGCCGTGTCAACGTAGTGCGGCGAGTGAACGTCTTCTGGCAGTTGGCATAGGGGCACTTGTAAGGACGCTTTCCGGAGTGGATCCGGCGATGCCTAGCAAGAGACGACGAATCGCTAAAAGGCTACATATCATGATAAAAGGTTAGCGACTGTGGAGCTCATTTTGAGGAACCACATGATACATACCTTGCCGCATCTTTCACACATGTGTGGCTTTTCGCCAGTGTGGACGCGAGCGTGCACGGTCAGGGCCGAGCGCTGAATAAATTGTTTGCCGCACCCCGGCCAATCACACGCGTGGGGCCTGATGCCTGAGTGGATGCGCTCTGCAATGGAGTTAGAAAAATCACCAACTGCTTGGCGAGGTGTAAGGATGTGCTTACCGTGACGTGCAAGGTCACTACGACGAGCAAATCCCTTGCTGCAAGTTCCACAGTGGAAGGTCTTCGGAGGTGGATCCGGCCGTCCCTGAGGAACATTGGCTGGTAATTGACCAGCGCCAGCGTATGCTCCGGGAATGAAGGTGTTTTGCAAAAGAGGCAACCCTTGGTTGGGATGAGCCTGCGGCGCATAGCGCATATCTTGCTGCATGTTCGGCATTTGACTCAGCTGAGCATGATGGGGGTACGAAAGAACCTGCTGGTCGCCAGGCTCGGCGCCAGGCTCCGCCTTCATCTTGGGCGAATGATCCATACCAGGGTTCGGGACCAGGTGCGCTGGATCGAAGGGTGTGTCTGCGGCAACCATGGCGGTAGAACCTTTTCTATTTAGGATGTTTGTGATGTCCATGACCCGACCCCGCGGGGAAGTGATAAAACGGCAGTCAGGGACAGATTAGGTCTCCACGAAAGGGCGTTCTGGTGCTGAGCCGTAGATTTCCTCCACGACGTTGCTTCTCGAGATTCCAAGCGACGACTGTAACTCCGGTAGCCGTTGTATTGCGAAATGGGTGGGAACAGTTCAGTGGGTGAAGAAGCCGAGACACCGATCGGAACCTGGTCGGATGGCTGCAGCGACACTGAAAGTCTCGAGAAACTTGAAACTTGAAGCGCACTTCAACAATATCGGAGGTGGCTCGGGCAGGCACACGAAGTTGTCTAGGTCACTGAAAAGTGTGTCGCCACGTCTTTGCCGCGAGTTTGCAAGGATTGTCAAGTCACCGGGGGGGTATTGGCCGGGATTGCAACACGCCAATGTCGGCACACTCGATTTGTTTCGGCGGGTTTCAACGACAGCACTCACAGCGCTCTGCGGAGAGGAGGGGTATGTATGTCGCAGTAAGAACAGCGACGAGGTAAATTGTTTCTGCACTGTGTGACAAGATTCTGAGAGGTTAGTAAGCTGCGCATAAAGAATGATATAATGTAAGATGAGATCTTCTGCGTTCGACTAGACCAGCGTTGCCGACATTCTTCGCAGGAGACGCGCAAGTGATTGGATCTCCTTCATGTTGTTTTTTTTTTCTTCTTTCTTTTTTTCGCGTAGGCAAGTTGACATTGAACCAACAACATTGCGCGCCAAACCAGAAAAAGAAATTGCAACAGAGGACGATGCGCCAACGAATACACCACCTCTGCAAAAGCAAAGACCGGCAAGCGCCCGTTCCGAGATTATGCGCCTGGGAATAGGCTTGTAGAGTGCGCCAGGAAGAGATCCCCTGCCGAGAAGGCGGCGAAGGGAAATTGGTGGTGGGCGGAGCGCGATTCGAGCGCACGGAGAGGAACTTACGGAGCAAGAGAAAATGGCTGACAGATTTGCAGGGGGATTAAGCACAGCTCGTTACCAGCAAACACTGCGCACTGAAGCAGGGGATCGTCGGGAGATCCGTGGGCGTCGAACAAATGCACCAAAAAGGTGTTCTTCGACGGAGCTTCTCGGGGATATTCCAAGAGCTGAAGGGAGGAATCGGAGGCGATCGCACCACCGCAGATGGGATTGGATTCACGCAGGAATGACCACGGAAACCCAGAGGAGAGGAAATGAAGAGGGTGTTGGGTATTGGTCGGTAGAGTTGGAACTGGAGGGGGGAAAATAAAAAGAAAATGTCAGTTTCGTTTCGGATCAGAGAATGACAGGAGACGAGAGGCAAAGGAAGGCAGACAGACAGGCAGGCGATGTCAGGTTGATGAAGTAAAGTAAAGAAGAAGAGAAGAAGAATAGTGGAGGAGATGTAATGAATCGGTAAGGAAGAGTATCAGGTTGGTATCGAATATACACAAGCAGCACCCGAAACTTTCGATTGCTATTTGGTTCTTAGCCTTCTCGATTTCTTCTTGAAGAGTTTCTTCTCTGGTGCTCGTTCACTTTTCCTTCTTTTTTTTCTTCTCTCTCTCTTCTCTTGAGCAAATGCGGCGCGTGCCTCTCTTTTCTTATTTATTTGCTACTCGAAGACATTCCTTTTCTCCCCCAGGCAGAGCCGGTAGTTTAGTTTAGCTGGTTTAGTGACCTTAGTTAAGATTAATGTTTCTTATTATTAGTAGTTGCTCCTAGTGCCCGGTAGTAATAATAAATATTATTTCGAGGATTAATTCTATTTTATTTTATTTTATTTTTCTCTATTTTACGTGGAATTAGTCGGACTAAGCCCTGTTGGTCGGAGACTACAGCTTTACACGTTTCCACAGCGCGCCCCAAGTGGCTCCAGTGAACTCTCACGCCCGAAGAAGCTGGCGGCACCAGAAGGTCACCGTCAGCGCTCGGCTCCACAACGTGGCTTTCATTTCTCCTGGCCGTGCGAGAAAGAGAGTATACCCATTACCCAGAACAACTCACCTATAGAGGGAAAATCCGCGCTGCTCCCACTTCTCCTTCTTTGCCTCCTCCTGATGGTGGTGGGGTGGTACGGGTTGATGCCGATCCATATGGATTATGGGTTAAGGATAGACCGTGGTGATAACGCTGCGAATATTCTCAGTTTTATGGTTTGTTGTTTGATTTGATAGCTTGATTGATTGAGAGCTTCTTATGGTCATTCATTTTACCTTTCTCCGGCACATCGATGTTTGTGTTAAGTTAATCTCCTCATCTTCTCCCGTCCCCCTCCCCGAATCTCCTGGTCGCGCCATGATGCTGAATGATCCTAGCGGAAACAGGAACCGTGTCGGACAACGCGCCTTGCTCAGGAGATTCGACCCGCTAGGTAGTAAGATCGAGCAGCCATCATCCTGACCTACACCCTAGCAAGTAGACAATTAACGTAGAGGTCAAGGTGTTCCTTTTCCAACCCCCTCTCCCCTTACCCCTCCTCCCATTCCCCTCTTTGATCGTGCATGAAATCGAGGCTAGGAGCTAGACCGGTGACCGCATCACTGTCTCGGAAGCTTAAGTGCTGCTTACCCCAGGACATGTTCTCAAGGGGCCTCTCTCTGCCCCCTTCCCCCCACCGGCCTCCCCCCCTGGTAGGAGTTCCTGCAGGTGATGACGCCTTCACAGGGGGAGGGGGGAAAGAATGGGTTCAACCTAAACAGGTGACCGTGTAGGTATCGTGCAACCTGCACAAGTGTCCCAGTTCAGTGTTTGGCCGCGATCAGGCATCAATCCGCGTGAAACGTTCGCCTAGGATCACCCTCTGGCACGGCGACGACCTTACCCTCCTGTTCTGAAGTCATAATCATCGCCATGGGCTGTTCCTCTGGCCTCTGGGGTTGGACAGGGACAGTTGTCGGTCGGGAGAATTTGACTCTCCTCATTCGTCAACAGCCCTCCTGGCTGGAAATTTCAGGACAATCTGGTGCTGGAGCTAGATCGGAAGAAGAGCGCCAGATTACGAACAGGAAAAATAACCGTGGCGGGCGACTGACCCCAGGCGATCCGGCTGTTCGACGGGACGGAGAATAATCATAATAATAATAATACGGTACGTCTGCGTAGGGAATAGGGAATTTGATTTCCCCCCCTTTCGGGAGGAGGGGTCCTAAAACTGGCCTGTGATCACGGCAGAGCAACGGTTGAAAGTTAATTTCCTTCTAGAAAGTTTCGAATGATGGGGAGGTGGTGGACAGAAAGAAAGAAAGAAAAAAAGGGATCGGGCATGGTTCCCAGATTGGCAGATTAAGCCCAGAGGGAGCTTTGAACACACCATTGCCTGGTTCAAGACAGTTCTCCCCCACTTTCATCGCCGTCGTCCGGCCGCAGCTGCAGGGACAGGTCGCCCTGGACCTCTCACCGATCTGCATGTCACGTAGGACCGCATGCTGACTGTCGCGGCAATGGGAGAGGCGATGACCACACACACATACACGGGCTAACTGGTAACCGCAAAAGCAGAGCTTGATGGGGCTTCTTTGTGATAATTGTAATGGGTTTAGGTTAAGGAGTGCGGTCAAAGGACCAGAATAAATAGAAGAAGAAGAAGAAGAATAATAATAATAATAACAATGGAAAGGAAACGAAATAGCAAGTGATAGGCCGTGGAGTAAAAGTCGACGACTCAACAGGTTGTCTTTCCTGTTACTGTGTAGTTTCTGCGACTAGTCGCCTAGTCCGCCTTGCTAGTTGTTGACGGACCTGACGGAAGCAGCAGCAGCAGCAGCGAGGCGACTTTCAGTGTTCCAGTTCCAGTTCCAGTTCCATTTCCAGTTCCAGTTCTAGTTCCAGTTCTAGTTCCAGTTTCCACTGTACAATACGTCCTCAGCTGTACTGCCCTCCTCCTTTTCCGGGTCTCCGATTCGGTCCATTCTTTTTTCTCGCTTCCCGATAGACTTGGAAGATGAGTGCCCATGATGATGTTTCTATTTCCTCATACTTCTTTTCTTACATTTGAACCGGGACAGCCTCTAATACCAGTCGTAACCTTGATGACTTCTCCCTCTCCCTGAGTCAGCTTCTCCTTTCCCCTTCTTGACCCTGACCTGACCTGACCTGACCTGTGTTTTTCTTTTCCCTTGTGCAGAAAGTGGCTCCACTCCGAGACACACTACTGGATTGCCAGTATCGCACCAAGACCAATCCGGCCAATGAAGGAAAAGTGCCAAGGGGGGACGGGCTTTCCGTTGAGCTTCTAGAAGAAGTCGGAAGGGGGGGGGGGCATGGAAGGTCAGGAAGGCTTCTAGAGGCCTTTCTTCCCATGTGCCAGTGCGGCTGCGTCACCCACCTTGAATGCCGGTAAGTGGCCGGTGGGTGGCCATGTCTTTCTCCTGACGCCCGTGTCACATCCCTGTCTGGTTCTGGTAGGATGTGTATGCGTGTATGCGTGTGTATCTCTGATTTCGAGACAAGCGCGAATTCTCATCAGTCTCCATGTCCTCATTGGAGAATTCAGAGGCGGGAGACGGAGCACTCAGCCAGACACAAATTATGCGCTGGTCAGAGTGTCATCCTAAGCACCCTAGGCGAACCAAAGAATGGGATTATTTTCATGATCACGATCCGTCCGCATCGTCATCGTTGCCGGTCATCCCTGCAGCGTCCGTGTTGGCCGTGGATCAGAATGAAAATGATTGCCTGGGCCCCACGCTTGTCTTCCCGTCTCGGGGCGTTGGGCCACCGTAATGATGGTATTTTTTTTCTTTATTAGAATGATATTCATATTTCCATCGCAATCTCGCAGATCGCCCTGTCGCCTTTCCTAAATCGAGTCTTTGTTTCCTTCGACTTGGCACACGTAGGCAAAATGCGACTCAGGGAGTCAGGGGTGCTCGGATTTTTGACAAGGGGGAGGAGGGAAGGAAGGTAGAATGCGATCGATTGAGAAAGGTTCCGTAGCATGACGTTCTCTGCCGTTTCAATTAATTAAAGCAATTCTTGCAGTTGTAACAGGGGGAAGTCCATCAGAGGGCAGTACGATTGGATGAGCGGGTTCAACTTCATTGCGACTGGTCGGTGGAGGTTTCATCTGCTGGTTTGAAGTGCGCCAACTGCGCTCCAGGCTTTTCCACTGCAGTGCCTAAAGCAGGATAGGGGGGAATCTCCGTGGTGGCTTGGAGTCTGGGAACGATGAGGGATGGGTCTAGTAGTGCGGTAGTAAAAAAGCCGTCAGATTGATGAGGGATGCATGTACAGTACATACACATTAAGCAGCCGTCTCATGCAGAAATGCAGGAGAAGCATCTCCGGTTGTGTTCCACGCTTGGACCAGGCAAGTATCAGATTCATGTCGATGGATGACATCGGCCTGCAGGTTGAACACTGAGCAACTCTTTTCACCTCTGTTTTCTCTCGATCTTATTTGCCAACCTTGCTTGCCACAGTGCTCTCGAACGAGATATTCGACGCTTAGGGAAGATTTCCTGCCAGCTGAGCACTGTCTTTCCTACTCGATTCAGAAATGTCCCACATCTGCCAGGTTCCGTTGTTGTGAGCTCCGTACTTAATGCACACATAACCTATAGCAGTGCTGTACATCCGATACCAATCTACCTTAAGTTGCAGCCACACTGCGTACGGAACCTCCCGGTAAAACCCTCAACAGGCAACCAGCACGGACTATCCGGTAGAGCAGGAAGAGAGTCCTACGCAGGACTGAAGCACACATGACGTGCCTCGGCAACATTCGCCTCCTAGCACTGTACTATACCTCTCGATGGCCTCATACCCAGAGTGGTATACGGAGATCATCATGTTCTCTAAACTACACTACCCATACTAAACTAGTGCTTAATTGACAATCACATAGTATCCGCATTTCGAACCCATCGGCAATCTGCCGTTGAACCAACGCAAGCTCTTGCAGGTCTGCCCCGAGTCCTGACTCCTCAGGTGTGTCTCTTCCACACCGTCTGGTCTCTCTCCTAGCCTGATCGACACCCTATTCGAACTACCAACATAGACTCTTACTCTACCAGGCTATAGTGCACTCTCTGGCTCAGCTCCCCTCCAACCCCATCCGTCATACCGACCCTGATCGTCAGTCTGGCATCCGGAAAAGAAGCCACCTCGACACTAGAGAGAGAGGACTAAGACTCTAAGCGGTAAAGTGAGCGTGGTTCCCCTTCCCCTCGCCAGTCCGTTTGCCAGTCTCCTCCCCAATCCCCCTCCTTCACCGTCATTTTCTAGCACTAGACTACTCCGGCCGAAGCAGCATCAACTCCAAGCCCCGGAGACATCCACGCACAACTTTCTTCCGAGGAATCATGATCCACGAATAAAGGAGGCCTCGATCCGATTCGACCCCTCTGGGTGTCGAGTCTTGACTTGACAGCTCATCCACAGTGACACGAAAAAGGGGAGGCCAGAGCCCCATAACCCTACTTACCCGGGTGGAGGACTATGGTGCTGGACTCCATACTGGACTCCATAGCGCTAAATTAGGAATGTTTCTGGAAGCAGCGTAGAAGTCTTGCAAATTAGGGAAGTAGTGGAATAGGGAGGGGAAGGTGGGGAGGGGAGTGAAGAAAGGGAGGGGTTTCTCTCTTCTGGTCACCCCTGCTTCTGTGTTTCCAGTCTGCGCCACTACTCGTGGGTTGGTTGGAGATCCGAAGAGAAAGGGGAGATGAAGATGGTGCTGGTTGTACGAGGACGTAAATTATGGTTGAATAGACGCCACACCGACATCGACGGAGGTGGCTCCTCTCTTGGGTTTGGCTTGGTTAGTTAGGGTTGGTTCGGAGAACTGGAGTCTAGCAACGAAAGAGCGGTGGACGGTGAACGGTGAGTTGGCTGATTGAGTGTACTGACTTGTACCTTATGTTATTTGCGTGTACTGGCTGAACCGTACGAGAGCCATCGTTAATTTACCTGTAGAGGGAGTTTCTCTGTCTACTTGGGAGGCCCCAGAAGCAAGTGTGGCTTATGCAAACACCAAAGTACTCGAGTTTAACTGTTCAAGAAACACCAACTGGTCAATGTCGCCAAACACCCAACTCGGCTTGGCATGTTTGTTCAGCCCGCCGCTTTCCGCATCGCAGACTGTCCGGCCGACCAAACTTCGGCTTCAATTCTGCCCAGTGTAGCAAAAGATCACCTCAGCCCTGAGCTTTCGATCTTAGATATCCAATACCATTAACTCATTGATCATGAACACAGCCTTGATCCGACTATTATAGGCCGTATGAGCATCACCCAACAGACGTACATCTTTCCCAAGGAGCTAACACCCACCAACCAGACAACCAATACTCTTTCAACCTACACACACCTCCATCGCGCAGAACACCACCATCTCTCCCCCCCTCCTCAAAACACCACCAGAAATCATGGCCACCCGCCGCGCTCTGCGCACGCTCAACCACCTCGCGACCCGTCGCGCACACTCAACCAGCTCCGTCTCCGCAAATGAGCTTTCGCATTTCTCGGCCCTGGCCAGCAGCTGGTGGGATCCGCAAGGCCCGTCGCGCGTGCTGCATCTCATGAACCCGCTCCGCCACGACTTCATCGCCAGCTGTCTCTCCGACGCCCTTCCTCCTTCCTCCACCTCCACCACCCCGAACACCCTCCGCTACCTGGACATCGGCTGCGGCGGCGGCATCTTCGCCGAGTCGCTCGCCCGCAGCATCAGCACCACCCCGACCTCCCAGACAGCGACGCCGACGCGCGCCGCCGCCATCACAGCGATCGACCCGTCGACGACGCTGATCCAGATCGCGCGCGACCACGCGCGGCTCGACCCGACGGTCGACGCGCACCTCCGCAGCGGGCGCTTCGAGTACAAGAACTGCACGCTGGAAGACCTCATCGTCGCCGCGCCGCCGCAGCAGGCATCCTCCACTTCCACCCCCACCTCCACCCCGCCGCAAAACTACGACATCGTCACCCTCTTCGAAGTCATCGAACACATCGAATCCACCCCGTCGGCGGGCATCTCGCCGCAGTCGTTCCTGGCGGACTGCCTGCGGCTCGTGCGGCCCGGCGGCTGGCTCATCGGCTCGACCATCGCGCGCACGTTTCCCTCCTGGCTGGTCAACCAGGTCATCGCCGAGGCGCCGTGGCCCATCGGCGTCGTGCCGCGCGGCACCCACGAGTGGCAGAAGTTCGTCAACCCCGAGGAGTTGGAAGCGTGGGTGCAGGAGGGGCTGATGCGCGCCGCGGATGGCCGGGCCGTCCGGGCGGGCGCCGCCGCGCTGGAGGGCATGCGCTGGAAGTGTGTCGGCGTGGTGTATTTCCCTGGGTTCGGGTGGAAGCTCGTGCCGGGGTCGGAGAGTTGGGGTAATTACTTCTGGGCGGTTCGGAAGGGGGTTTAGGTGATAAGAGAGAGAGAGAGAGAGAGAGAGAAATAGCTTTGCACAAAAGGCTGACTGCTTTTCTTACGTGGGTGGAAGAGAGGGATTTGTATGATAGATAGATTTATGTATTTATTTGTTATGTACCTACCTATGTAGGGATAGACTACTGGGGGGGTTTTTTTTTTGTCATGCTGCAGAATTGAAGCGAATGGTTTACGGACTCTTGCCTTTGTGCATTCAATGTAAGAATGTTATCTGGATCCTTGTTGTTCCAAAGCGTAGGCCTGAAAACAACCATCGAAGGATGGAATCATCGTCCATATGCAGATACCTAGTAGCTACTTCCTCCTCCCCTTCCCTTTCTTCTTCCCACCACTAGGCGGATCAGGTACGCTGACCGTCCCCTCCTGCACATCCTCCCCCTGATCCTTCAACCGTTCGGACCCGCTGATGAAAAACGTGAGGTCGCGATTCTGCTCCGTCAGGTCTGCGTTGGCAACCTTGAGGCCCTCCACCTCGGCACTCAGATGCTGGATCCGCGCCATCAGGCTCTCATTCATCGTCTTCTCCTCCCGCCATTCCTTCTCCAGCTTGCGCGCCATGGCCTCGAACCGCTCCGCGCGCTTTTCCGCGCGGGACTTGTCCCGCTCCAGGCCCGGGATCGTCTCCGCCGTGAGCTTCTCGTACTGGGTCTGCAACTGGTGCAGACTCGTGACCGCTTGCGATGCGGCCTCCTGCGCGGTGCACGCCGCCGCGCTAGCCTGCGAGGCCTTGTCCACGGCGCGCTCGACCACTTCCTCGAAGTAGGCGCGCTGGCTCTCCAGCTGGCTGGTGAGGAGATGCGTGTACTCCACGCTCATGTTCTCCAGTTTCTCGCGAGGCACGGCGTCCGTCCAGTCCGGGGGGTCGAGGGCGCTGTTGTCCGCGGCGGGGAGCTCGACGAGCTTGCCGTCCGTCTTGCTCTGGATGATGCGGTGCACGTAGGCGTCGCCGACGTAGTCCCAGACGCGCTGCGTGGCGAGGTCCATCGCGAAGGCGTGCGCCGTCTCCTTGTAGTGCGCGAAGGCGTGCGCGCCGTCGTACCGCCCACAGCCGACGCTTCCGCAGATAAGACAGACCCAGAGGTTCATGTCGGAGTGGCAAACGGTACACTCGGCTGACTCGTCCTCGGCGGCCGTCGTCCCCTGGCTGGTTCGACGAAGGTCATGTTGAGTGTAGCGACACACAGGGCAGCCGCTGCCTTTCCATTTCTGGAGGCAGGTGCAGTGGAAGACGTGTTGACAGATGATCGTCAGTAGCCCGGTCGTCTCATCCATGCGCTCCAGGCAGACGGGACATGTGGGTAGCTCGATGAGTGCGGGAGTGGGAGGGGCGAGGGGTCGGGACGAGAGAGTGGCCGAAGGAGCGGCGGAGGTGGAAGCTGTGCGTACCGGACTGGCCGTGGTAATGTGAGAGGATCCAAGCGCACTCTGTTGACTGCTACCTTCAGAGAGTGTCCCCGGCCCGACAGCTTGGATTTCGACCGTCTTCACGAAAACGACATGGCATGTTTCGGGCTATCGGAAGCAAGGGCGGTTAGCATCATGTTCCTCACATGTGCGTGCCATGCGGCTGCACCACAATTCTAAACTTACCTCCATGCTATTGAACACCTTCCCATTCCAATCCTTCTGCCATTCTTTAGCCTTCTTCCCACTGCGGAACTTCATCAGAACCATGTACCGATTCGCTCGAGCCGTCCTGATCATCCGGAAATGGCTGACGTCGTTCATCGTCGTCTCGCCCACGAATCCCAGAAGGTCGGACGGGGACATGTACGATGGAACGGCAAGGATGCATAGTGTTGTGCAGTCCTCGTCCGGCATGGTCTCCGGACGCGAGGCTCGACTACTGCCCCCCTCATCGAAAGGCTGTCTCGCCGCGGCAGCGGACCCTTTCAATTCGGCAGGATATTCATCCTCAATCAGGTATGGTGTTTCATGCACATCACGGTAAAGATGTACTATACCCCAGACGCTCTCCGATGCGCTTTGGTCCAACGGTATGTATTTCCCTTTGGTGCGAAGTCCACCCAAGATATCCGTTCCGATGCCGGTCGCGATGGGATTGTCGCTGTCGCGGGATGGCCGCCAGCTTGTCCGGTTCGAGACAGCCGTCTCCTGTTCCGAGGGGATCATGTCAATGCACTCGATCGAGACTTTGTCTAATCGAAGGTCCTGCTCGAGTTCCGATGCGCTCGTTGAGGATATTGTGAAGAGGTGAGGGGTAGATGGGTTTGTGGCGGCGGTGTGAGTGGAATTAGAGGAATTATCGGGCGAAGATGAGCTCTGATGTCTTTTTCCGTTCGGATGTTGGCGAGCGTATCGACTGGCCCCGTTCTGTGAAGGGCGTGGGCGTTTCTGGAATGGGAGCAGAGCTTCACATGCGGAGTCGAATGACAAGGAAGTAGAGTGTCGGTCTGCGCCTGCACTGACGCCTCTGAGATCGGAATGAGGGCGAGCAAATACTTCAACCGCGAGGTGATAGAAGTATGAGGGCATACCGACCGCTACTCACATCTCCTCTCTCCTTGCTGGTCTGCGAATTCTCGAGCTCGTCGTGTGTGGGTTATAGTAACAAGCCGGTGGGCTATCCCGTCGGCGGCGAGAGACAGCCCAGGGATCACGTGTGGGTCATCTGGGGTGGCAAGTGGGACCAAAATGACCCAACAAGAGCTGCTGAAGTCATGATTATTTACAAGCTGATGCACAGGTACTACTACATATTAAAAAGTCCTTACGAGATGTAAGAGAAGCCGAATTTGTTATAATCCGAAGATTGTCTTATTCTGTGAAGCAAAGAGAGAACACCATTTATATGGTGATACAATGAGGTATGTTCGAATTAACCGTGTCATAAAAAGCCATCAAAAACCTTCCGAACGCCATGCAGTCCAATCAACCTGTGAATCTGGAACTGTGCAAGAACCAAAGAATCAGTTTCCACCACGTAGGCGGAGAACCAAGTGCAGTGTGCTCTCTTTCTGAATGTTGTAGTCAGAGAGTGTACGGCCATCCTCCAGCTGCTTACCAGCGAAGATGAGACGCTGCTGATCAGGAGGGATTCCCTCCTTATCCTGAATCTTGCTCTTGACGTTGTCAATTGTGTCTGAAGACTCAACTTCCAAAGTGATCGTCTTTCCCGTGAGCGTTTTGACGAAGATCTGCATACCACCACGCAGACGCAACACCAAGTGCAGAGTGGATTCCTTTTGGATGTTGTAATCAGAGAGGGTCCGGCCATCTTCCAATTGCTTTCCAGCGAAAATCAGACGCTGTTGGTCCGGGGGGATGCCCTCCTTATCCTGGATCTTGCTCTTCACATTGTCGATCGTGTCGGATGACTCAACCTCCAAAGTAATAGTCTTGCCAGTGAGTGTCTTGACGAAAATCTGCATACCACCACGCAGACGAAGGACCAAGTGAAGGGTAGACTCCTTCTGGATGTTGTAGTCCGAAAGGGTACGACCATCCTCAAGCTGCTTGCCAGCGAAGATCAAGCGCTGCTGGTCAGGAGGAATACCCTCCTTGTCTTGGATCTTCGACTTGACATTATCGATAGTGTCGCTTGACTCAACCTCGAGAGTGATGGTCTTGCCAGTGAGTGTCTTGACAACTGCGATGAAGTCAGTATTCATTCCGGTATCCATAGCCACCTGGGTGGCAAATCCACGTTATAGCAAGGAAACCTACAGATCTGCATACCACCACGAAGGCGGAGCACGAGGTGAAGGGTAGACTCCTTCTGAATGTTGTAGTCGGATAGAGTGCGGCCGTCCTCAAGCTGCTTGCCGGCGAAGATCAAGCGCTGCTGGTCGGGAGGGATGCCCTCCTTATCCTGGATCTTGGACTTGACATTATCGATGGTATCGCTCGATTCGACCTCAAGGGTGATGGTCTTGCCGGTCACTAGACGGAAAGGTGGCGTCAGAAATCGGTCTCAGATTTGGTTTAATGATGGATGATACTCACACGTCTTGACGAAGATCTGCATGATGGAAGACGTCTAGAAGACTGCAGTAAACGGTGTGCAAGGATAATGAGGTTACGTGAGAGGGAAGTGTGGGTAGTAGAGCACAGATGAATCTGTGTAATGACAGAGAGGTATGGATGATGGGAGGAGGAAGGAGGAAGTGGGTGAAAGCAGGAGAAGAAGGCTTAAGTAGTCGGGCGAAGAGGGAGAGATGAGGGGAGGCGGCGGCGGAGGCGAAGCGCCTTAGTCAGAGTCGAACAGGTCAGTGATAGGCAACCAGGCCCGATAACGTGATGCAAGGGAAGGAAGGAATACTTAATTAGGCACTGGGCAGTGAAAGAGACAGTTCAGGTCGGGTTAGTCGGGTTAGTTGGCTTAATAGTGAGTGACTATGTATGTAGAGGACCGTGTTAGTCAGTGTCAGCGCCCCCCTCACTGTACCTGTTGATTCTAGCATCTCCTGGCCCATTCTCGCACTACTAATCCTCTAGACGGAAAGTGAATGGCTGCCATGATCCTGCGTCATTTGGCTCCTCCAATCTACTTCATTTCCTGCGCGCTTAGGAGGAATCTACTAGAAACTTGCGCTCTAACCATGGGGTGACTCAAGACTCACCCATCGCTTTCCCGGGCAGTTGCTTATCTTTCGCCTGGACGCAACCAAAAGAGCCTGTTTGGTGCAAAAGAAATCTCTAACTGGGTTCAGGCAAACATTCGCCCTGCTCAGCCGTGTCTGGCTGTCTGGTTGTCTGCCAGAGAAGAATGCCTGGTATCAGTTCCGGCCGCAGTGAAACGGTCTGGGCAACGCCCGTCCGCATCCGCCACTGACGCCACCAGTCGGCATCTCACCCCGGATACAAGAGTCCTCGCTCGTGTTCCTACTTCGCACGGCTCCGGCTATAACCCTCAGAATACGGGGAGTGTCTTCTACGCAGATTCCAATAGAGATGTTTCTCATCCCCGCTTGATGCTGGACAGGCCGTTTTGGCGACCGAGGACATACTTGTTACTTAGCTGGCATCACAGCGATGACGTGTAGGGAACTCCTTATCGGGGGGCTCAGCTTCGCTATCGGGGCTGGAAGCGGGATAGCGGAGAGACACTAGCGCTTAGAGAGGGTCAGGTGATCGGCGCATCCGGAACGCCCCCGCTTCCTCCAGGCTGTTGTCGGGTAGACTATCTTACACTGTCCGGACCTTGGGGTAACTCGAAGAAAGGAGAGCTGGAGCTGGAGATGTCATGGCTGCATTAGGTGCTATGGAGATGCAGAGCAAGACCCCATTTCCTCTGGATACATCACCAATAGCATCTTTTCTCCCCTGGATTACCTCAAGTCAATACCTCAATCTCAAGGATATCATTTCCGTGCCGATGATCCATAATTTATCCCGGAACCGAGGGCCATTCCTCTGATCACAACTAGTCATACGTTGTCGACTCAAGAAGGTTTTCATAGTCGCTTTAGCGCTACGTGCTCGTTTTTGGGGCACTGATTGACTCATTTTGAGTCCCGTCGAACGACCCGAAACTGGTATCAACACATCAATACCTTACACATACATTCAATTGGGGGAAATAAGCATGCTCCGCAGATGCGGTCAGGAACTTCCCGTCCACTAGACGCAAATTACAGAAAATCTGGATGGAATCAAGTAGAGAAACCAAGTCATCATATTTGTACTGCTGTGCATTAGTTGGACCAGCTTTTGTCTTCTGACAATTTATCTTAATGTTTTTCTTAAACTGCAATGTGATAAGCAGCCCTGCGTCAGGTTTGTCCTCCTACTGTATCTCATCCTTACCGCTTCGAATTTCTTTGATATTTCTATAATCGACCCTACATCCCCCAACCAAAATGCACCACAGATATTAAAGACTGCTTGTTGATAAGGTTGCATCAAAGACCTCCACATATAGCATACCGATATCCCCTCACTCGAACCAAACGAGAATCTAAGCCCATACCTACCGTCGTGTCGACTAAACAGGAACATTCATGCTTTGCAGAACAGCCAGTTAAGTTGCAGTCAGAGGTAGTAAGAGAGGTCATATAGATTCTGGTCCAGCCTAGACAAAGGTTCAGTAGGCCAGGGGAACAAGTGCAGAAGGGAATCATAGTTGTATAGAAAACTGCTTACAAGTTGTTAGCATGCTGATTGTGTTTCACATATGCTCGACCTTCTCTTTGTGTCGGATGTCTTTCCCACATCACAAATCCTGCTGCTATGTTTTCCGAGATAGAGTTATGAGCCAGGCTATCTATTTACTGGCACGGCGAGTTGGCCTTGACCTTACAGTGAAAGAGGGAAGAAAAGGCATGCTTCATGGTGGAAGCGGGTCAGAAAGGGAAGACAGAGACTTTCCGTCCAATGGACGTTAAAGATAGTAAGCAAAGGGAAGTCTCTTGCTTGTAAATAGTTGCTTGTCTGATGTCTGGATAGCTATCCTTATTCCACAATCCTGTTTATACCCTGTCCTTTCCATCTACTCAGCACCCAGTGAACCCCTCAATCCCATATTTCCACTTTCCCTCCTACAATAGCTTCTCAGCTAGATGTCTATGTTGATCGTTCCTCATGATGTTTGATTGCCAGTTTCCCTTCGCAGGTAGATCTCAAAAGAAGATGGGTTAGCCCTTTTCTTGGTCTGATGCATATTCTATGCGGCATCAACTATAGGTCGAAAGTCTTACTTGTTTCGCGCAGTCTTAATCAGAAAAGAACTAACTCTTATTCTGTATGCTCTTTCCATACCTCAAGAGGTGTCCAGAACCTCTACATAATGCGCATTGAATATCGGCGTGGTTGCCTACGACAACCTTTGTCAGGGCTGCAGGCTTTCATTGAAATTAGTCTTCTAGCTTTCGCTGTGAGCCTCTCAAGCGTCACTTGGGATATAAGACACCTTAGGAGTAAGGCACTTCGAGTGATGTAGGATTTCTTGGTTGTTTTTGAAAGATCGCGACCGCCTGGACTGCCAGTGATGGCTAACCCAGTCATTAAAGCCCAACCTAGTGACATCTCAAGCATAGATGGTGAATTTATCCTAACATATGATTCTCCCGCCTTTGCAACCTTCTCGCCAAACCAAACATTACTTCGAACTTTCCCCCGTACAGGCATCAGACGTGATCTCGACTTCAGAGGGTCAAAGCTTAGAGTTCTCTTCTTGATCTAGGTTGCACCTCCTGATTCTTGGTCCTTGTCTTCCGAACCCAGCAACTACTCTCAACGCTTCCTTTCAAACGACCAAGACTTTTTCCCACCATCGTATGACAAGCTCATCATACTCAACATGTACGAATGCGAAACATGTTCTCGCTAATTCTATTCATGGTCTGCCTGTGAGCAGCACATGACTGCTAAGGGGCACTGGGAGACATTTGAATGTGAGACCTGCGAGGAGGAGTTTGACACAGAAGAGGAAGCAGAGGACCATATGCAAGAGTACGACCACTATGCGTACGACTACTCCTGCGAAACCTGCGATGAAATGTTCCGCACAGAGGATGATGCAGATGAGCACATGGCCGACTACGGCCACTATGCTCCCCGGTTCCCGTGCGAAACATGCGACAAGATGTTCTACAGTTCTCGGGCGGCCAATCGCCACATGGATTCTCTGCAGCACTGGGCTCCCCAGGTTGAATGCGAGACTTGCGACGCAGTTTTCTACACACAGGATGCTGCGAATCGGCATATGACCGCAAAGGCACACTTCCGCAATTACTGCCCCAGTTGTGACAGATGGTTCCAAAACGAAAACAACCTGCAGCAGGTAAGGCAAGATAGCCAATATCTACAACTCCGGTATGATGACTGACGGGCCTCTTCACCCCCAGCATCTGAAATCGAAGATTCACCTCGGCCAGAACATGCTCTGCCCCTTCTGCAAGAACACGCTCACCACGGCTAGTGGAGTGGCTCATCATCTCGAGACCGGCTCCTGCACTTGTGCTCCCAATCTCAACCGCGAGTCCATCCATGACCTGGTGCGTCGTCTTGACAAACAAGGCAAGATTACAAACAAGCTGCTTGAGTGGCATGGTAGTGAATCCGGTGAATATTTGGTTTCCTCAAATGCCTATAATGGGAGTGCCTGGGAGTGCTATATATGCCATAGACCGTTCAAAACTTCATCCGCGCTCAGTCAGCACCTGAACTCACCTACGCATAAGCAGCGAATCTATCATTGTCCCAATGTCAACCGCTGTGGCAAGCAGTTCAGCGCTTTGGCCGCTTTGTTCAACCACCTAGAGAGCGAATCTTGCTCCTGTATGAGATTTGAGAATGTCCAGAGGAATGCGCAAGGCCTTCTTAGGGGGATGAAGCTCATAGGATTTTGAACGCATCCTTGACATGTTGCGGATGAGATCACAAGGACGTTTTAAAACCAGACCTGAGCCGGCGATGTATGAGTATGCCTTTATCATGAAGGATACGGTGATTATGCTACGTGCTATTTGGCGTGTGCTTGCTGGCCCACGACATGTTTCAGGATTGTCTAAGCATATTATTCCCTTTTCTCGCAAAATACGCTCCTCAAGGTCCGGTACCAGTGTATCTTATCATGACTGTCTAGATTCCAGCCCATATCTGTGTAAGCACTCGCACTACAAGCTCAAGCTCAATCTCAAATAATCATACCAACGTTGAAGTCGCTACGAAGGAGTCAAAGGCCCTCAGGGACAAATCTTCACTACGTAATCCCACCCCTCCCAGCCATGACCCCGTGACTGGGATGAACAACAACCGCGCAAACAATTTAAATCCATAGAAGTTAAAAGGGACATCTCCTCCCGCAAAGCCGGAACTGCAAGTAGCAATTGACCCAAGATCTTGGACAGCCTCGCATCTGTTCTCCTGATTACATCTCCCTTCAATGGCCCTTTTTCTTCGTGACCTCTTTCCAACGTCTAGCATCTTGCAGTTTTATGATATCGAATCCTCTCAGTAACTTTCCGTACCGCCCTGCTTGCGAATTGTTGAGCATTGCACTGATGACCAAATACCTTACACTAAATCAATCCCTCTCTGCTTATTGGAACGTGCGCACAAACCCATCCCCGAGGACTGCTTCCGTGCAATGGCCTAACTATCTTCCTGTCTTGCAAACCTCGACTCAGATGACTCAGATACACAAGAACCCTACGCCTACTCTTCCAGAAGCGATGGAGCATCGGGGAGAGTGGGCACCGCAGCGGTCCCCGCATCAGTCAGGGACAGATTTACAATTGATCTGCTTCTGAGCTCCGGCGATGACATAACATGGGCCACTCGAGGAAGACACCCTCAGTATATCTAGCTCCTCCAGGATCTTTGGGGAAGGAGCATGGTCACAGTTATGAAGGATAGACGCGCGCGCCATCCCTTCGAATGTACGACAGCATTGAATGCGAACTTGAAAAGACCATGACTTCCTGTTGGTTGCCTAGGTATCGGTGGGGGCCAGAGACCATCGCTTTTCACTCTGTATTCGCCGCGTGACCCAGGCTTCCTGGTGCAAAAGACAAACTTGACAATTGTAGCATCCTACCGCTGGGATTGCACTTCCAGTGCGTAGTGTACTTTAAATGTGGTCATTGCTAGTGGAAGCTTGAGAGGTTGCTTTGAGATGGAGACAGTAGTCCTTCCGCAAGACATCCACATTTTACCAGTGTTGATTGCCCAATGTCGAAGAAGCATGAGCATGGTCGGCCAAGCAGAGCTCTGTACTTTTACAAAACAAAACGGCAACTCTCTCTCACGAGAGCCCTCGGCCCTGGCCCGCCCATCAGGAGCATGATACCCTCTGCTTAAGTGAATCGATATACTCGTAAGGATGGCGGACGGAAGTTCTTAGACAGCTCACGCCTACAGGGCTGATAGAACCCTCACCCTGGGAGCAAGCGTTGGCTTAGGATTGTCTGTCACAGGGCTGTTATCGCCTCCTGGTATGTGTTCTGCCAGCATAAATTGCAATTGCTTTCGGTGGACATTGAATGTGATGGGGAGATAGAAGAACAAGCCGGTGAGTGGAGAGTATTGGGACGACGATTTGCACATTATGCTATTGAATCTATATTAGCTATTTTTGGGTATGCTTGCTGGGTTGAACCATTTCGACAGATAAGTAATGGTGGGATGAAAGTCGCAGTCACTACTGTTGTGAATCCCATTTAGATATTCAGATCCTACTTCCTTGATATCCCCAGAATGGTGCTTACATCCCCTGACTCTGGACACGCCCATCGAATCAAGGATCGAAGACGCGCTATACTGCTTCGCTGGCCATGACGCTCAAACCTGATGAACCTGCAACCAGAAGCACAGTTCCATAGTCTCTGTGCAGGTCACTAAACCCCCATACTTTGAAGCACAGCAGCAGGGGCGCCTGAGCATGAGACCCCATGCCAAAAGATTCTGTCGCCAAGACGAAACTCAGCAGGATACTTGAGAACGTCGGTAGCATGTGAGGCATAGCAGTCAAGAAGACAAAAATCATAAACAAGTCTTAGGGAGGGGGGGGGACGAAGGAAAGACCCTGCAAGCGCTCCATGGTCTAATGCTCTTGGTCAACATCACTCGATGTCTTCTCAATATTCCCAACATGAACTGGCCAAACGCACAAGGATACCATTACCGACTCCCAAGACATTGAATTCTAACCTATCAAGCGCCACAAACCCACAAACGACAGATAAAAACCAGCCCTAGTTCATACCACCCAGATAATGCCTCTGGTCGATCAGTGACCGACCCCTTAAAGTTCAGCAGATCGATCGATATCAGATTTCAGCCACCCGACTGCTCCGAACGAAGCAAGCGTCTGCCTCCCCCTCCCCCTCCCGGATCCCCAGGCGAGCGTGACCGAACCAAGATCTCGCTTGGGGGAGAGGAGTGTGGGCACTGGGATCGGGTATGGGCGAACGGATTTTCTGGCTGACCAGGGAAATAACCGATCCTCGGCAGTTGTGGCCACCTTAGATTTGCCTCTTCCAAGATGGGGGATGGGGGGGGGGAGGGGGGTTAGATTCGATAGTCTAGACTAGTAGACATTGAGAATGGAGATGGAAATGGAAATGGAAAAAATGGAAGTTTCAGGTCGAGTTCTAGATACGCAGTCGCAGCCGCAGCTGTTCGAAGCTGGCAGGGCAGGAGGTTCCACCGGGCCACGGAAACCCAAGCCAGCGAATAGCATACGTAGGAGACTACAGGCGGTAGACTAAGAAGTGCATATTTACAATTGGAATTCGCCTGTACTAGCCACCTTGACCCCTCCCCCTCTTTCTCTCCTCCTCACCGTCTCGCTTTAACCACTGTAGCTTTGAGCCTGGGAGTGATCTTTTTTGATTATCTGGTCCTGTTCTGGTTTATCTTGTTGTTGTAGTGGATCAATGGAGATCTGGAACTACATTGTCTGTGCTGTGTACGGAATACCAAGTTACTCTGTATACGATGAGTACAGTACAGAGTCTACAGACTACCCTCCCCAATCCTGACGAGGGGACCCGCGTGTTGCGACGCAGTTGAGATGACGGCAAACAAAGCTGAATGGACTGAGCTGTCAAGTCAGGAACTGACAGGGATCCGCCCCTGTTGTATCTATCTATAAAACGCTGCATTATGGCTGTGCCTCTCGACCCTCAATAGTCTTCTATCTCAGCCTATGTATAACCATGTATGCCATTTGGGGTCCGGGCCCAGATTAGGGTCTGCACAGGCAGGTAGGTAGACATTTACTGGGTACCTATCTACACACACACAGACAAACAGTCCTGAGATGGATATCGCACGGTCCCAAGCCAATTGAGCATCTTAGGAGTACTACATTAATTCAACCAAGATGTGTGGTGAGAGAAGTAGTCTCCGTACACAGATTTCTGTAGTGGATGATGAGTGGTGGTGCAGGGGCCGGAAACTACAACCACAACCACAACCACATCCCCTACTAAGCAAGACTAGACTGACGGACGGCAGTCCTTCCGACGGTACGACGTCGGGTCAGACAAGGTTCCATCTCCTGCAGGCTGATGTCATGGCTCGTGGGGTTGAACGACGGAGGCTAGTGATACGGTAGTGCGCTGCAGTGATCACTTGATCACACAGCCATCAATCAAACAGATGAGATGTCAAAGCTCATGTGGGATAGGGACGAGATAACTACTCCGTACTTGTGAGTGGTAGTGCCCCAGTAACTCTCACTAGAGAGAGGGGCAGACAGTAGACTAGTAGCTGCGATGAGTTAGGGGAGAGAGAGATCATGCACCACAAATGCAATGGTTACCGTGATCAGCGCAGACTGGCGGTGCTCTGTTCCTTCCCATATGAGCATGTCAACCATAGCAGCAAAGGGGTCGTGACCCGAAGCAAATGACCCGTCCCCCCGAAGAAAGGAAGGGAGTATTGTTACTCATGTATGTGCATGGTGCGAGGATCTTGTGTGAATTGATGACGGGCAACTGGCGCAGGCAAGCCTAAGAATTGCCTAATCGAGCTCTGCGATCAACTGTTGCCGGAGGAATTGACAGCGAGAATCGGCCGGAGCGAAGAAAAGCCACTTGTACGTACTCGAGTAGGTACATGTATTGCAAGTGGAGGGTCTGGCTCCGAGTCTCCGGTAAATTTAGGCCCTACGGTTGCTGTCGGTGGCGCTGACTAGAGCAACCACAAGATAACCTCACCTAGGGCACATGATTTGAGTCAGGGAAGATTAGACTAGGACTCCTTCTCTGAGTCTCTATTACTGTAATTCTGTGACTGTAAGTGCACAAATTGATCCCCTCAGCAATCACCTTCTTGAAGACTAATAAATCTAATTTCCAAATCGAAGAAGCAAAAGTCATTTTGGCTCGGAGGCTGAGCCGGAGAAAGGAATGAGTGGGCGACGGCCCAAGCTTTGGCTGTCTTGGCAAAACCCCGCTAACGTCAGCGGCGGTCATGATTGGCAGTATGCTTCCCCCACTATGATGTCACTCGAAACCAGCTGCTCTACACCATTGGTCTATTCTGCCCGCCAGCCCCAGAGGGCTTTTCATCGGCGTTCATGCGTCCTGGTTGTTTCTGGATCTCTTCATCTTTGCTGCCAAAAGAAAAAAAAGAAAAGGAGTAAAAAGTGAAAAGGAAAACAGCCAGGGCAACGACATGTTCAATGACGACTTGCCCTCCACTAATTCTCGCAGCTGTAGATATATAGACAGACTCACTAAGATGGACACCCATCAATTGAACTTGTTCTTCTCGATTTTCGCATTTTGAAGGACAACGACCCTGTACGCCATGGAGCTCCAATTATGGCCGCTCTGAAACCGAAATCTCCCATGTTCTATGGTCGTGAATCTGCCTGTGACTGCTCCTCCTCCTCGCAGCCAACGGACGGACGGAATCATGGAATTTGAGTCAAGGGAAGGATTCCTCGTTTCGTGTCCGCTGATGAGCATGAAATTCCCTGGTGTTTGCACCATTGGTACTAGTCCAACCAACACCAGCCGACCCCTGAAGCCTGAAGGGCCCAGAACCCTTCTCCCCCCCTACTTCGGGCAACGTCGTGGCGAGTTCAAACCTGAACAGGGTCCAGAATCGGTGGTGGTGATGGTGGTGGTAGTGGTGGTGGTGGCTGGCAGTCGGACAATCCGGCGTCGACGCGGAACGTCGCAAGCATCATCGTCAACAGGATGGGGCCTAGAGATGCATGGACCGCTGCTGTTCCCGAGCGTTTTCCGCCCGGGATGTACCAATGTCGCTTCCTTTCTTGATTTCAAGGCAGGGAGCTCTATTCCTATTACATAGGTATACAGGTTTGTACCAGGGTTGATACTCCTGGCTCCACGTGCCCTCAAGTCCTATTGTCTTGCTGATGAAGTTGGTTGAGGGTGTCAGGCATAGGGTGGTGTACTGTACAGTATAGTGGTGGAGATGGACGCCAATACCCGAAGAGAAGGCATCTCGAAGCCGGACACACCCCCTACGTCAGTTGTGGCCCTATGATTTCAGCGTGCATCACCCTCCGGGTGGGGAATGCGAATCGGCCGTTCCCTCGTTTGACTCTGGTCGAGGAAGTCAGGGAACAAATGCATGAAGATAGGCCAACAAGAGTGAGACAACGGAGGTCTGTCCCCAGGCTCTCAGACTTGCAAGTCTTGCCAATATACTGGTGAGGCAGTCTAGCCCAGCCCCCTTGATGCCTGTCATATCTGTCTTCTCTTTCTCTTCTTTTCATTCTGAATTTCGGAAGAAAGGCATTTTGACTGGGTTGATGGGCGCAGACTGGAAGGTGACGATGATGGAATCGTGCATTCTTGGTTGGGGTTAGTCCGTCCACCATGGATGAATGAATGGGCTGGATGGTCCCGGCTGTTTGTCCTTCCCTTTTTTGACGCCTTTTTTTTTTTTCCTTCTGGGCTCTTCTCCCCACATCATCTCCTCGCCAATCGCTGGCTTGAGTATTTGTGGAATGTTTGACCTAAAGATTTTTTGAGGCTTTTTCCTCCTCCTCCCTTCACTTCCTTGTGGATTGTTTCTTTCTTCAGGCTGGCTCCCATATATCCGGGCATCAATGTTACCCTGCACTCTGGCAAGGTATGTAGGTGATCGAGTCAGACTGTGCAGGTGATGGATGAGATGATAAGAGTCGAAGAAGAGAGTACAAGCAGCAACATACGGTCAACATCAATGGAAGTAGACATTGACATTGACTGGGATATCAGTCAGCAGCTCCCCGCAAGCAGGCGCAAGTTTCGGGATGACGCCAGAGGATCCCGTCATCGGCTGTTTTATATGCTTGAGTCCCGCTCTCTCTTTTTCCACCCAGCACTGATCGTCGTTGTCTCTGCAATAACAATCGTTCTTCGAATCCTCCCCCACCGTCTATCCCACCTCCCCGACGGTTTGTAAACTTTCTCAGTTCTTTTGATAGTTCACTGAGTACTCAGTACTATCACTCTCAATCCCAAATAGATTGAATGGTTCAATTCTGTGCACCTCATTCTTAACAAGTGCCACTGAACTGCGGCTACTCTCTGATTGGAGTGAATATCATCGAAATTCCATCTCTGATGTGGTCTGCTGTATGATGCTTGCTGCAGCCCACCCTGCCGGTGTCCAATAAGTTGACCGCTTCGCATCAACCTCCATCCTGTCACTTGTTCCATTTAGTTGTCCCCATCTTTTGCCTCTTCCGATATTCGTTTTTTTTTCCCTCTCACTGAATCCCCCCCCCCCATCCCTCTCCCCCCCTTCGGTTCGTCCCTTGAGGGCAGATCCACTGTACCAACCACCATCTGATCCAGAATAAGGAACTTACCCGTAAGTAATTCATTCCACTTGGGATCAAAGGCACCGCATGCTCTGTGTCTTTCTCTATTCTGTTATTCCCCGGGAGTATTTTGCAATTAAGATTTGACTGTTAACTGCAAATCGTGTTCATCATCGGGACTAATTCTGCACTTCTCAAAATCTTAGATCAAACCTGACCACCAATTAGCTGACTAAAAGAAACAAAACCAAAGAGACGAAAAAGAGAAGGAAGGAAAAGAAAGTGCCTTACCTCCTGTAGGTACCATACTGTATCATTCTTCATTATTTTTATTTGATCTGTTTATCGGTTTGTCCGCCAACCCAGCCCACCTGCTCCCCTCCGTTCTTTCTCTGTGCCCCTCCACTTTCTGGTTCCTCTTTGACGGCGCGCCTAACCAAACTGTAAAAGAGAGAGAAAAAAGAGGAGAGAGGAAAAAAAAGAAAAACCAGAAAACAAAAAATAAAAAATCCCAATGAACAAAAGCGAAGGGGAGAAAAAGAGAACTTCAATCGCCATCCCCCTTCTGCGTATCTCGCTTTCTCCTCTCTCTCTCTCTCTCTCGCTCTCTCTTCTTTTTTCCCCTCCTCCCCTCTTCGCTAATACTTCCATCCAAGTCACTTGTCCAAATCGGGAACCTTCCTGTCCCATCGCCTCTTTTGCCTTATCGTCATCATCTCTTCCCCATCTCTCTTAATCTATTTTAATTTGGTTATTTTCCGTCAGAGGTGTTCAGGGTTGCTTGAGACTATTCGATACTCAAACAGCTGAACTGTGGAAAGGAAATTAGGTCCAAGGTGGGAAAAGTCCCCTCTTCGTGCTTCACTAGGAACGCGTTTATTCTTGTTCTTGTTCTTGTTCTTGTCCTTTTTCTTTTCCAGTTGCTTGTGCTTGCTTCCGCTTTTGACATTTGGGCTGTCTTCTCTTCTACCTTTACACAACCACTACCCCTCCCCCTCTATCCTTTTTCATTACCTTATCCACTGGCCACCTTGCGTGACTTCGTCTCCTCCTGATCCAGACAGCTGTTCTCACTAGGTGATCTCCATATGTGCCCTGATTAGTGTATGTTCTGTGGTTGATTGATATCTGCAATCTGCACCGCACCACATCCCTTCCCTTTCCCTTTCATTCATCTTTCACACGCCACTTCAGCTTGGGATCCCAGCCTCACCGGTTTCTTTTGATACCTTACCCCAGGTGGCAAGAGCATATCTGAAGTAACCTTCGCCAGCTGCAAATTAATTAGATTCCTTGTCTGTTCCTCTCTTGCCCCTCGCCCCCTTCCCCCTCCGTTGAGCTTCCCTTGATTATTCACATCCTTGTCTCCTGGGATTCAATCTTGAATTGACAAATTCCCCCAATCTCTTCTATCTTGTGTGCACTGCTGTTTTAACAGTCTGCTCTATCATTTGATTTCTTTGTGTGATGCTAGGTTGATTTCTTTGATGACCTGTCGTAACACCCTCATTGCGTAGGGCCATCTTGCCAGGATCCTGTCGCACTGCCGTCGCTGTTGCTGCTGTTACTACTGCTGCCGTTGTCGTTGTAAACATGCTATGCGGACCAAAAAGGCCAAAACTGACCAGTGAATCCTCTACAGATTCGTGCCGTGTAATTTTCCTCCCCCCAATCCTAAGTATACCCGCAGTGTTCGCAGGCTTCTGTTTTGGGCTCGGCGAATATCCGGAATAGACCGACCCACCGCGTCAAAACAAAAGACAAGCGCGCAAGAGCCATCCATCCAGTTCGGGTGATCGCGAGAGGGCGTTTGGACTTCCCCTCCCCCGCCAACACGAGTCACTTTCCACACTCCGATCCAGCCAACCGAGTGACAAGCTTCATCTCACCACCACCCATTTCCACCATGGCGCCCAGCACCACCACTAAGACCATGGAGGAGTCTGTACGTACCCGCGAGCCCCCTGTCCAGAAATGCCGTTTGTAAATGCTAACTGTGCGCACTAGCCCAAGGAGAAGATCAGCAGCACCAGCAGCACCGCTGCTACCAACGACACCCCCAATAACACCACGACCACCACCGCTTCTGCCGCCGCCGCCGCTACTGCTGCTCCTCCTGCCGATACCCCTAAGAGCAGCAGTAGCGGTGCCTCTGCTGCTCCTGCCACCACGAGCGCCACCAGCACCGCCGCCGCCAACCCCCCAACCACGCTGGCAGAAATGTCTGAGACCATCGACCAAAACACATTCGAGCAGATCCTTGAAATGGATGATGAAGGCGATAATGACTTCAGCAAAGGCATCGTGTTTGGATTCTTCGATCAGGCAGAGAGCACGTTCGATAAGATGGAGAAGCACCTGTAAGTCATGGTCGTCGTTCTTTGAAGTCGTTACTGACCCTTGATATCAACAGCGCGGACAAGGACCTGGGCGAGCTTTCGTCTCTGGGTCACTACCTCAAAGGTTCCTCCGCCACTCTGGGACTGATTAAGGTCAAGGACGCATGTGAGAAGATCCAGCACTACGGTGCCGGCAAGGATGAGACTGGCACCAACGATGAGCCCGACCAGGAGGTTTCGCTTGAGAACATCCGCAAGACCCTGACCCAAGTCAAGAAGGATTACAAGGAGGTCGAGGATTTCTTGCGCAGATACTATGGCGAAAGCCCCTAAACCACGATTAAGGCGAATTCTTCGAGAAATTCAGATGGCCACAGGGGCAAGGCAGAGAGAAGATGAAGCAAGCAGGCTGGGTTACTGAGTTGAACTGAATAATGCTGCGTGAGGGAGTGAGGCCACACACTCCGTACAAGAAGACCCAAATGCAAATCGATACCGCCCGAGCGGAGAGGTGACCACGAGAGCCAATCACCACCCCTCCACCACACTAAAAGATAGGTAGTCTTTTCCATCAAGGCTGCACAACAAGCGAGGAGAAAGGGAAGGGAGCTACAGCATTCGTTTGTATTTTTGTCTCTTGCATGTTATGATCATGATCGTCGTCGTCGTCACGAACCATCACGAGGGTTGATCGCACTTTTCAATTTCTCATCTAATACCCAATTCCCTTTCCCCCCCCCCTTATCCGTTCTTCCGTCTTGTTCGCGTTGAACTCTAGCCCGCCGTTTGTTTCTTTAGACCCACCTTGTATATGAACCTGTGATTCCTCCAAGCCAAGGGACCTTAGGATGAGACAGACAAACAGACAAACTCAGGGTAGATGATTTGCTTTTCTTCTTCTCATTTTACCCTTAACCCGCCAGTCTAGTGGTAGTTGACTCGTTCTCGCGCGAAAGGGTCAAGGGTTGGGAGGAGGACGAAGGGAAAGGAAGAACCGACCTGTCCACGTCAACTGTCTGCTTTGCGACTTAAGAGGAAGAGGGGATGCGAGACGGGATGGAAAGGTATGTATGCGTGATGTGTATTTGTGTATATAGTGGAGTGCTTGTACGGTTGTGCGTGGGTAGATGTGGTCTTGGTCGAACCCATCCATTCCTCCGTCTGGATGTACAACCCATCGCCTCACTTATGACCTTTACACGAAGACCAGATTGCGCAACCTATGGGGAGCCGAGAGTTCAGGGAGGGAAAGGAATGGCGACTCGGCAGCGAGGATGTGCTGCTGGGATGTTGCGGAGGTAGATCGAGCGTTGTGCATGCAGGAGATTTCGAGAGTCGGTTCGCCTTTTTTTCTGTTTGACTGCGACCGAATGTCTTAGCCTGGTCTTGGTTATGGTATTTTGAGGGGGAAGGGAAGAACTGTCAACAAACAGAGTGAGGCTGGTTTGTGTGTGCCGTCAGTGGTGGAAACCTCTTCCAGCTACAGTACGTTATCCTATTGTATTTCCTTCTGCTTCCAAGCATACCCAAAGTTCTTCTTCTCCCGAGTCCCCCTCCCCACCTTCTCTTCCCTGTTGCACCTCCTGATTGATCAATTCAATTGCCCGCAGTCAAGATAGAGTGGGTTCTGGACAAACCACAACGGACCATGCAAACCAGACCGGAGTGTTTGTTTTCTCCGGGTTTTTCTACCTGGTTGTCGGTGATGGATCACCGATCTGTCCATCAGCCAGATGAAGCGACTCCCTGATCCATCCTCCTGGCCGAAGGACATCCTACTAGCTGTGTCTTTTGTTCCCACCATCTTCGGCCCCTGGAATTGACAGCCACAACTGACTCTTCCCTAACCTGATGAAGCACGGTCTGGTTACACAACCGACGGTTAGACGGGGGTGGGGGGTTGTATGGATTGACTGTTCGCACATCCCTTCTGCCCTTCTTTGATATCCTTTGTCCGGACAAAATACTAAAGCTGAATTCTGCCAGTCTCATCACTGAGATTTCCCGTAATGTCTCGGTTGACTACCAACCTACCATGATTAACAAACCGGATTGAATGGATGGAATTCAGACCCTTCTAAGAGATGGAACGTGTGCTCTGTCTCCATGCACCTCAAGACAAGAGGGTATGTTACATGCCAAACCTGAACCTAGCAGCTTCATCAGGTCAGTCGAGCATGCAAGTATGGTCTTGGTACGGATCGCGTGACTCGTTCTCGAGGTACAGTACTCACTGCATTGCTGTGCGTTCAATACTTATCCCCCTACATCATCTCATCACATTGTTGTGGCCTCCTCCCCTTGTCCCTGAAAAGTCCTCAAGAAATGGCCTGACAATCAATCTCGGAATTTCAGTCGATTGATCCAATGCAAAGTCGCCCCTTGTCTCCAGACATATCTCCTGACGATCGGATACATACATACACTCCCCACCATTTCCCCTTGCCTATAGAGTGGGACGGATGACGGATGATTCCGACCCGGGGTTGCTGGGAGTCAAACGGTTCTCTCACTCTCTGGTGTTTTATTGTTCAAGTCGAGATGCGGAAGAGCGGTTGTGATGCCCGAAATTCTACCTTGAACTGAGGACGAGAAACGGTGCAGCTGCAGCAGATCCATGGGGATGTCTTTCAACGATTCATTCTTCCATCCCTACTTCCTCGTCAACCTATGCATCTTATCTATCTTGCTTGGTGCGAGTTAGATCATAAGTCAAGGACAAGATGATACACAAGCAGAGGGCAGATCCTATGGCATCTGATAAATCCCCCCCTTTTGGAACGATTGTGGCAATCCGCCCCGAATCTGTCCCTCTTGACTTTCTTAGCTGACCGTAACTGACAATCCTCGTTCAGATCCATTCAACCTCGTCGTACAACTAATCCACTGAATTACCATCCATCTCATTCTCTCGGTTTTCAGATCCATTCCATTCTATCCCATTGTTCATATTCCAATTCGGAGAAAACACCCACCCTCTAAAAATTGGTCTCCAATGACAAGGGCCATCTGTTTGATTCTCTACAACCACCCTCCTCCCCCATCCACTATTCTTGTACTCAACTGGCCTACTTCATTAGAGAGGAAACCCCTGTTAATCAGGCGTTCGCCACGCTTCTCTGCGTTTTCTTCAGTCGTTATCCCCGAGATTGGATACAAACCAGGAGACCAGGGGGGTGTGATGGGGGTAGGATCACGGACTGATCGAAATGTCTATATATCTAGATATGATCAACCAGTGACCCCTCGAACAACCGACTGCGCATCAACTTTTTGTTTTTCTTCTATTGTTATTCAGACTCTGGGCATTCCATGACAAAGGAGGTCATTCACCTCTCATTCTTGTTCTTCTTTTGATTGCTATCGTTTCCCTTTCCTTCCTGTTCAAGAACCTACACTGGCCCTCGAGCTAACCCAGCAATCCTGCCCAATCATTCATCAAATTTGCACAGAGCAAGACCAGACACAATACTTTTTACGTTATTTCTCTATTGCTCGGCCCAACCTGTTCGCACGAAGTAAGAAAACATGGCTGTGGGCCCTCGAGCCTCCAAGGAAGAGTTTATGCAAGCCCTAGGCTTGAACTCGCATGATCCGCAGCACGAGCAGTATTATCGTGCAATGAGGGTGAGTTGAGTACTTTTTCTTTTATGTATTGAATAATCGACTGTGCATGCTCCCGTTCAAGCATGTCTGTCTCCCTGTATCTTCTTACCCCGAAGGCCCCCGTTCTCGCTTTCTTTCTATACTCGTGTAATTTCCATGGTGATGATACGACAAGGCCTCGAACACAACTTTCTTGGATCCCACACACAAACACACTTTCTACCTATACACAATGTCCCCATCCAGCCAATCTAGTTCTGCCCTACACGCAATCCTCATCCTCAAATCAACCCCAATTGCAAGACCCCCCAAATCCCAACCCCCAAAACTAACATCACCTTCCCAAAACCAGGACGAAGCAATCCTAACCTACAACCACCTAAACGAAGACCGCTCTAACCTCCTGGACAGCATCGCCGCCGACCCCGCCACCAAACCCCCGTACTTCTGGCACCACATCCGCCCCGAGCGACAACGGTGGGGGATCCTCGAGATCGCCCGGAATGCGGGACCGCTCACCCGCCCGCTGTTCGCTCGCGGGGCGGTCGTGACCTCGACCATCAACACCACCGGGGTGGGTGCTGCTGCCACAGGGCCAGGAGGGGGCGGTACGACCGGCGGCGGCGGCGAGTACGGACCCAACTGGGTGGCAGGGTGGTTGCTGTACAGCGTTTTCCGGTCCCGGGATGTGCGGAATAATCGCAATCGCAGGCGCGGGGAGGAAAGGGGTAAGTTTGCTTTTTGGGTCTCGTTCTCTTTCCCTCTCCTTTTCTACATCCTTTGATTGTGTTTCGAGGAATTGACACTCGAGGAAGAGAGAGGGAGGAACAAAATACCCCAAAACCAGAAAAAGGTTGGAAGTATACATACATGTCCATGTCTATGTGCGGAGTCAAACTATATACACTTTATCCTGTACACAATTGGAAAACCAGAAAGACGAACGAATATTGACAGAATGTCTAGGTCGCTCAAAGTCGCCACAGAGACAATCACAACCGCAGAGTCAGACGAACAGTGGCGTCTCGGGCAAGAAAGAATATTATGATCCAGTGCGGAACGGGTGAAGGTGCTCAAGATTGATGCGGATCCATTAGCGAAAGTTATGCGGAGTGCGCGATAAGATGGAAGAGATGATCAGGTTCGAAAGGCGAGGAGGGCGGTAGCCTAGAATAGATGTTTCGAATTCTCAATGCCATTCGATTAATCGTCTGTATCATTGTCGTTCTGTCGAGAGCCGTTCTTCTGAGCGCGCTCCTGCTTCAAAGCTTCTGTCACGCGCTGGTCACGCTCATCCTTCAGCTCGTCCCAGTCCTCGTCGTACTCGGCCGCAATCGACTTGATCTCCTTGCGGAGCGAATTGCCCTCATCGATCAGCGACTCCCACAATCGCAAATCCACCCCTTTCCTCTCGTAGAGCTTCTTCTGGCGCGCATTGATGGTGAAGTCGAGGGCAGACCGGTACGAGATTTCCCGGTTGTGGTAGAGGAACCACAGATAACCACCCATCAGCGTGGACAAACTGACCAGGTAGGTGACGGGCTCCATCGTGTCCCAGCCCAGGTCGGTCTCGAAGGTGAGTTTGTACACCAGGCACCACCAGGACGCCAGCACGCCGAAGCCGCCCATGGCCACGCGCTGGGCCCCGCGGTGCGCCAAGGCATCACATTCATGCTTGATGTCCGCGATGTTCTTGATCCGGCCGGAGATCTTCCGCAGCCGCATGCGCAGGAAATGCGTGCGCTCGTTGAACGAGGGCACCGCCACGTGGATCTGGTGCTGGCCCGCCGGCGCGCCCTCGACCGAGACGACGAACTCCCGCGCGCGCGCGGCGTCGCGGATGAAGTCGCCCACCTCGGTGGACTGCGACCACCGCACGAAGCGATGCTCCATGGACTTCTTGCCGCCGCCGGGCTCGCTGCGGCGCAGGTACGTGTAGGTGTCGTCGTCCGAGGGCTTCTTCTTCTCCTCTTTGACCTGCCCGAGTTCCTCCAACTTGCGCACCTCTGCCTCGGTCCCCTCGTAGAGGGCTTTCCGCGGCCGGATGGGGTTGTCCTCGAGCTGGAGCGCGATGAAGGAGACGGACGGGGCGCGAGCTTGTCCGTCCTTTGTCTTGATGGGCGGGATCTCGGCTTGGATGAGGCGTTCCAGGTGCGAAAGAGGTTGCTGAGGGTGGATGAGAAAGGCGATTGGTTCGATGTCTTTTTTTGCGCGCACACACAGAGGTCAGCATGGCCCTCTTTCTTCATGCACTGCGGAGGGAAAGGAGATCCTCCGGGAGTTTGGCCGAACTTACCTTTATGATCACGGTGGTATTTGGTCGACAACGGAAGAAGCAGCTTGAACAATCTTGACGGCGTGGTCAACAGTTTCCCTTGCCGTTGGTTTTAGTTCACATCCCAAAAGCGCAACACAGAGACACGACGCAAAAAAGGAAAAGTCTGGTATACACACCCTTTGTCATCGCCTGCCCAAGTTTGTCCTCACCACCCTTCTGGGCCTTGGACGAACAGACGCCTTCCTCGTCCTCCTCCGGCTTCGCATCCTTGATCTCCAACCGCTCGAGTTCTTGCTTCGGACCTTTGGACTCTTGTAGACGAGCGTCGATGCTGCTGAACCACCGGGGTTGCCCCGCCGTCGGGACAGCAAGCACCCCAGCCCTCGTGCTCGTGTTGTAGTGCGCCCGCGGCGGCGCTGCGGTCTGGAACTGTCGCCGCCCTGGGTGGCCCGCTGGTATCGTAGAAAGTCGTATTGACGGCGCAGCAGGGAAGCCGGACTCGAGGCGACTACTCCCCCATTGTTGTTGTTGTTGTTGTTGTAGTAGTAGTTGACGAGAGGGAATGGACGGAATCCGACCTAGTATAAACCGCATGTTGCGGTGAGGCTTTTTAAGGGCGGCAATTGACAAGAGGCATATAAGGTATGTACTCGGGGAGAACAATGGGAGGAGTTGGTAGTGGGTGGGTAGTGTTGGGGGAGATCCTGGAATTCTGGGACTTCACACCACAAGGACAAGCTTGTCACAAGCAATGGGAAGAGGAAGGGGGGGGGGGTCCTTCGACCGGGATGTGGATGAGGAGTTGATTGATATCATCATTTGTGTTTTGGGCTGGGGTTGTGCTGGTAATGGGCAATGGACAAATGGGTGATGCTGTCACTCTTCGGCCATTACGTGGATCGTCAGTTGCGCCTTCCTGCTTTGGACAACTGGAGACACCACGGCACCTTCCCTACGTCATGATGTGTCAGCGGCTGTGGCAGTGAGGCTGCTGCCTCAGGCCGCAAGGCTTCATGCTCCAACAAACAACCGGTGAAGGAACATACTAAGTATACTCAATTCGAAAAGACCCTGGGCTTCGAAAGAAAAGACAAATCACCACCGTATGTACTGTACATACATACATACATACCTGCACACACACCTAACAATAGTAATTGAGCGCACAAGCAATTCGTGAGACATCACATTCACATTCACTCGCAGTCAGACAGTCAGACAAATGCACACCGCCGCCTCCAGAAAAAGACACCGCTGGCCACCGCAATGCAGCCCTCCAGAACTTGCACATTCATCCATCCGCGGGGATTCCTGTGTGATCCTACCCGCAGACAAAGTTCCATCCATTGCCTCCACCTTGGGAAGAAAAGGTGCATTCATCACATTCATCAGAAGGGGGTAAAACAAACCGAAACCAAAACCAAAACCAAAAAATTAAATAAATAAGACGCTTCGATCTATCGGATATCCGGGTTCGTTGTCATAAAATCATAAAGTCATCGTCATCAAATGCCCAAGCCGATCTCCATCTCATCTCATCTTGTTCCCCTGACTTGATCAACTCTTGTAAGTTAAGCCACGGCAAGAACAAGCTTATTATTTGGTATCGGCACGGCCAGTGTGCGCCTAGACCTCAGCTTCCCCCGCCTCATCCCCATCAATCCCCTCCCTTCCTCACCCCAGAAGCAACCTACCGACTAAACGCCAACGCTCGAGACGGGCCCATTGCCGCTTGCCGGTCGCAATCCCCTCCATAGCTCTCCGGGCTGCTGCTGCCGCCACTACTTCGGCTCTCTCCACTGGTCGAGGTGTCCGCGTCGTCCACCCCATACCGGACTTTGCGTCCGGTGCCAATGGCGACCGGAATGCCCTGGATGACACCGCCGTGGTCGTGCCCGGCAGGGTACATGCCGTCGTTGACGGAGAAGTTGCGGCAAATCAGGTAGGCCCGCATCGCTGCATTTTCCCGAGCCAGGGTGTCCGACTCATAGACAGCGTCCGTCTGGTACTCGCGATTGTTGACTCGGACAATGCACGTATACCCGGTAGCGCCGCTATATGATTCGTAGAGAGGTTCCGGCCAGCGGCGCCGTCGGCAGAGACCTGTACACATGGTTATTGGATGTTGAACGTGTGGGAGATCGATGAGCAAAAAGGAAAACGGCGGGGAAAAAAAATGGGCCCTGCCACTCCTCGGATTTCCAAGAGGGAGCAAATCATAGCTGCGAGAAGTAGGAACCAAGCCCTCACTAGCCACGGTCTGCTGGAACTCTTGTCCTTCATGGCGTGCATGGCAGTAGTGCTCCAGGGGAGGCAAAACGACCACCATCACAACAGCCATCCATGGGGAAGCACAGCGAGGGTCATCCGAAGCGGTGACCCTTCGGATCCAATCATAAAAGGCACAAAGGGACCGGATGAGACGTTGTTCGACGAATTGCAAGCAGAGTATCTACATACTGGCAAGATAGAGAATATAGTACATCGTGGGAACCTGTCCAGGTCCAATGGGTCGTATGGTCCAGGCCAGTATTGGTTCAGTATTCGCTGCCCCAGATCGAATGATACTGCACAAGATCCTGGCGGTCACACCGATGGCATTGAGATGACCCTAAGTGAACGGTGTCGGTTGGTGCCCAATGACCACGGTCTTCATCAAACGGCCAATGTGACTTGCTATATCTTACAATAGCCAGCAGCGAGGCCCGTCACCAGGTGTGAGAAGATTGGGTCAAGAAAGGCCCAGCGAAAAGAATGAAGAGACCAATTCAACTCAAAGGACGAAAGCCGCAAGGGAAAATAAAACTAGCGGCCAGGAACGAGGCAAACACAGCGTGCCCTACACTGGGGGAAGGCAGGAGGGGGAAAAAGAAAAGCGAGTCGAGGGGGATATCTTTCATGACCGCCCCGGTATTCGCACAAAGAAAGAGGTGGGGCATCTGGAGCAGCCCTCAAAGCTTTTAATCATTATTATTATTTCATGGTCTCTCTCAGATAGAGAAACCAGCAAAAGTCATTGAGGAACGGCCACGATGGTTAGAAAAGAGGCAAAAAAAAAAAAAAACTTCCGAAATAACAAAAACCCGGTAAGGTGAATAAGAATTAAGATGAAGGGAGTGGCTCGCAACTGGTTCAATTGGACCATTCTCCACCAGGTTGACCGAGGGGGAAAGCAGCAGACGAATGCCATGCCTTTGAGAATTGTCCTAGACCTCACACTAGCTTTGTCCGTTGCGTTGCCGTTCTGCTCGGAGAACAGAATATGGCAAGCGCTGATGTGCTGGCATGATTTTTCACCAGTGGACCGAAGTGAAAAGATCCAGGACGTCCTGGCCCATCGGCCACCGTGTAATTCGCCGCCGATCTAGGCGGCTACGATGGAGATGTTGTTCAGAATATTGAACGCCCGAACAAATCGGTCGTCTCGGCCTTCATCTATTTTGCTGCAGAACATGGACTGGTTTCTCTGGGCATACCTTAGAGTGGTCCATTGCTGTAGTAAGCGCGGCTCTTTTCCTCTGCCCCCTTGTGTTTAGGGTCACAGTGCTTTCCTGGATTATCGATCAAGGTTCCTCCCCATACCAGATTCACATCATTGATTTCTGGCGGGAGCGATGGCCCCTCGAACCCCGCATTTCGAATCCACAATTGTAGCCCGGTCGAGCAAGTAATAACGAAGGTAAATGGAAGGACGGGAGAAAGAAACCACGAGAAAGGAGGTGCGGTGGAATCCGGCTAATGCAGAATGATGCTTCAGAACAAGGGGTTCATGTCGCGCAGATGAATCCTGGCATAGAATGCCCAGAAGGAAGCCGTGATTCCATTGTACATGGAGAGGGGAAGAAGAAGGTGGATGGATGGATGATCGCTGGCTGCTGGTGGAGGAAACAACACTGCAGCCCATGATTGGACTGAATAGCGGGCCCTTTTTTTTTCTTTGGGCTCCCCTCCCCTTCTTCGCCCGGGTCAATACTAGTAGACGATCACGATTCTTAACGACTCGGTAAGCCATCCGAATTCCGTAGCCCGCTTAGTGTAAGTTGACCGCTCTCCCGGAGCCAATCCAGAGTCAACCTGATTGAGAGCAGATACGACTGACCCCACGGTCCGGAGTGGGATCGAACAACAAGAACAACAACAACAACAACAACATCATCATCTTCATCACCAGAGACTGTCAAGGAGCACACCACTTTCGATGTATCAACTGCTGCGTGACTAGATTTCGGATAGGATCTACTCCGTAGGTTGGCCACACAGGAGAGCAAGCACCGGATTGGTCCAGCCCGCTTTCTCCTCCGTTGGAGCCGTTGACTGACAGGTAGGCATTGCGGATGCACTGATGAGTTGGCAATGACGCTTCGTGCGCCGGGGGAGGGGGAGAAGGAATCCATGCCACTTTGACACGAGGGGCAAAGAGAGGGAGGTCAACCTTGCAGAGTAACATGAGTAGATTCCTTCTTATTCAGCGCCCTCCCGGAGAAATTGATTCTCACTGACCTTTCAATTGCCGCCCCCCTCCTTCTTGAGCGCCCCCTCCCCATCTTTCCCCCTCCTCTTGATATGACGGATAGGCGGGCTGCAGCAGGTCTGTCTGTGCATGGTGTAAGTCGCCCGCTGGCTGCCCCGGGCGTTGCAATGCTGCGATCTGAGAGTGAAGAATGCTTTGCTCCGTTTGAGTTGCATCTCCGAGGGGTGTCTGCTTGCTAGCCGTCTACTGAGCCCAAGTTCCTGGAGGGAGGTGTCTTTGTCTTCTTTTCTCTTCCTGTTGGCGCTGCAAACTGTAAATTAGCCAGGGGGAAGTGGGAAAGAGGAAGGAGGCTCTCACTGGCAACGGTAAGGATGAGTAATGGAGGGGTGGAGGAGGGGCTGGTCTGGAAACCGCCCAGAAAAGCTAGAACGAACTAGATGGACCGTATGCACAAAGATAAAAGCAGCACTGCAGGGCAGCTCAGGTGGTACAGAAACTGAAGTCGAGTCCTTGTCAAGCTGACCAGAACAGTTCGTGCGACCCTGAACTGGAGTCAATCCTCACGGCCATTTCATTTTCGTCTGTCAGCCCGCGTGGCTGCTCAAGGGCACCACCTCCTTCTGCATACACCCTCCCCTTTACCTCAGCGGTCACACAGATTCCTTAATCTTAAGCTGATTCTTACGTGCATGTATATTGTACTGTACAAGTGAGATTCACCCTAACTACGCTATCTGACAGTCACTCGCTCCCATCTCCCCGATTGGTTGACCAAAGATGTTCCCAAGTCCCAGGCTGGCTAATTCACATTTATTGGTTGCCTTTCACACCACAGGCGCATTCCTTCCGCAGCCGCATGAGGAATCACAAAAAGCGGATGAAGAGCAGCAACCTTGTCGTTCTCGTCGAACACATTCACATCGGCTGAATCGCCGTCAGAAGTGACTGGAGAAGTGTATTGCCATGAGAAAGCTGACGCGAAGTCTTCCTTGCTGGAGACACTGCGAGTTGTATGGTAGTGGTAATGCTGTGTAGTGCTTAGACCCGCAAGGGTATAGCAGGTATGATACGAATCTACATGTCTTCACATCTCTCAGTCAGCAGAGGCGCCGTTGACAACAATTTGCGGAGGTAGCTCGTACTTTCCAGGCTTATCACGAAGACCCCCGAACTTGGCCTGACAACACCCAAGGATATATCGGGCCAAGCCTTCCCGACTGTAGAGGTTGCCCACAGAGCTCTGTTTGGGGCCTGCAGCCGGCTGAGCTCCGTCGAGCGCGGATTGGATCAATGGCCAGCAAGATCCAACCCAGTGGCTGTAGCATCCGTCAACCAACTTATTGGTTCTCCCCGAAAAGCCGCCTTCAGGGGCATACTGTCGAGCAGAGAGCCAGGACAGGAGGAGAGGGACATCCATGCACCTGACACCATCAGCCGCACTCAGAGTGAAGAGGAGCGAAAAGCAAACGCTACTAACCTCGCCACAGTCACTTCGGGTTGGCCCAGGATGCACAGACATGCCAAAGCACAGAATGCATAGGCGCCATGTGCCTCCGACCCGGGACTTCCGGAAATCCCACCTTCGAATGTTTGACCTAGAGTTCGGGATCAGCCTAGCGCAGTCAGCTCGAGGAAGAAAGCACTGACATCGAGAGAGGTATGCGGAGAGGCCACTATCGAACGTCTCCAGACCATGTTGTCTGGCTTCGGCTTCCGGGGGTAGAATAAGTGGCAAATCTAGTAGTGATATGATGACCATCGCGCAGTAAGCGCCGCTGAGCTGGCAGTCAGTACGGCATGGCATGTACGCAAAGGAGAGATCTAGGTCCTGGGGAGGGGGAGGGCGTTTTACCGCACATCTTCTTCCCCACCTTCGCAGACTCTAAAGCCCCCATCGGGCTGCTTCAGTCTCCCAAGCCATCTCCACCTGAGTCGAGGTCAGCCGCATACACCAGTGGCCAAGTAGGGGGGGGTTGAGCTCGACAACGCACATCTTCTCCCTATCGATTAAGTTGTATGCTTCTTCGCCTCCGATCATCGCAAGGGAAAGCACAGCAGCATAGCTCGAAGCGCAGTGGGACAATTGGCCATGGCCACCTCCAAAGCCCCCCGCCGGGTTTTGCATGGGTATGAATGATTTGACAACACTGTAGCAAGAACCATGAGTCTCAGTAGGCGCTCAATCTATTGGGCACCGGATCTACCCCCGGACTCGGCCAAGTTTCATCCGGCATCTGCAACAAAGCACACGAGCCCCATACAGGACTGGAGATAAGGGGGCACAGGTGTTCGACTCACCGTTCGCGGACTCTACTGATATCCTCACCTAGGAGGCTCAAAGCTGCCAGTGCCCAGTAGACCAGCCAGGGCCGACTGGCATCCATGGCAACGAACCCCTCTGGATAGTCTTCGAGGGAGTCGAACAAATAGGCTACATGCTCATCCCTCATGAGGGCGGGCACGCCAAACCGGTTGAAAGGGCCATTCTGGGTGCTATGAATGCCCTTCAAGAAAGGTAGACATTTGTTGACCGTCTCCGCTTGGACCTCGGAAGTTTCCGTAACCAAAGCATCTAGGAGCAGAGGCGGCGCGGTGAAGAGATCTGGCACACCGGGTTGCACTTGTGGTTCGCACATTTCGTCGTCGGATCTCGGCAATGACTGAGAGTCAGTAGAAGTCGTCGTAGTCGCAGCAGACAAACGACCACTTGTTGAGACCTTAGGCCGGATGGGGTGGTTTTGCGTGTTTCCGTTTCCTGGCTGCGGTGCTTGGTTGGCCGTAGTAAAACGAACTTTGCGCCGCTGTCTCCCTGAAGCCGCGATCACGATCGGCATGGGAAGCTTGACCAGGCCGATTTGGGGACTTATATGAGCTTTTTCTAATGTTCTAATTCTTTGTCTCAAGTAGACTCAAGTAAACGGGTAATTGATCCAGCTCCTGATAGCTTTGAATTGTTCTTTCCCTTGCCAATGGATGAGCTCTGTTATCGCCATTCAGGAAAACCATTGTTCTTTTCTGGTCAGGTGGTGGTGGGGTTGCCATGGCGGGCGATTGACCCCTCAGGCCCCAGTTTGGTCGAGTGGGGGAAACAAACCAAGTGCGCAGTTCACCCTTCATCTCTTTGCATCTTCTTTGTTGTTTTCATTTCGTTTGCTTCTGGCCTCTCCTTTCGCGTTGATTACATAGAGCCATTAGTTTTCTTTTATTCGATTGAGCTCATGGCTGGGAAGAGATAGTGTAATATCACTGTCGAGACCACTGAGCCACTGACTCAACTGACACGTTCCGCTCACCCACCCCTATCTTTTCGTTCCATGTCTTCCATGTCTTCCAGCCATCGCGGATGTGGAATGGATCTTCATCTCGGTTGGCCGAAGAGAGGCTAGCGAGCATTCCGGCCTGGTTCTTAATCCTAACTACTAAGTACTGCACAGCATACGGAGTACTCTGGATTGATCCCCTGCTGGCAAATAACTTACTCGAGTACAATACGAAGACCATCATATCTCAACCAATCTTATGGGAGCTCACAGTTGCAGCCGCGATTGGGCCCGTCTCTCATGCTTGAATTGCTTGGAAGTCATCTGACTGGCAGGTATACTGAAACCAACAGAATCATGAGCACTCGATTCGGTCGTATGCTTGGGGGATTGACTCGGATAGGATTTAAAGTTAATCGATCGCTGCTGTCTCGACTTCTGCCGATAACTACTAAGTTACTAACTACCAAAGGCCCTCAAGCACTGACCATCTGACCAGGAAATCCATCATCGGTCGTCCTCTGGATCTAGCCTAACACCCCCAAGTCCGAGCTAAGGTTGTGGATGTGCTAATTATAAAACTCAGTGGTTGCCTCTTTAAGCGCCCATCGCCGTGAAATCGGCGGGCGCATCGCTCGCAAATCGCTGGCTGCCGACGCGACACCGCGTTGGAGAAGTTTCTTGCGTGAAGCCGCTGGCGTGGCAAAGCTGCGAGGCAAGAATTCAATGATGCTGATTGTTTCATAGCTGGCATATCGATTTGTCGAGGCGTCCCCGGGGAGTGGAGCCCACGGGCCTTGTCTTTCCTTCCATACCCGCCTATGCAGAGCGTTTCCTTACGCCTGGCTCGGTACCACCTGCTGTAGGGAGAGACTTTGTAGGTCGGTTCTAGTGAATAGACATACATGACTAGTTAGTCCCCCAGGCTTCGGCCAAGACCGGTTTGACTTTGCGCACACGGTCCCGTGAAAGATGCTGGCCTGGTCTGACAAGTTTGTTGAGAATCAATTTTGGACAGGTCATTTTGGCGCTTCGAACCGACAGTAAATGAGCTATGAGATGCGGCGGCTATGGAATCCTCTTCCCTGATTTTTTTTGGCTGGACAATCAATGCTGAATGGGCCGAAGGCAGCTAGAAAGCTATAGTATGGAGAAATGCGTACCCAGCGTGAAGCGTCGAGCACAACCTGACAGCACAGATGTACATACAGTTCGGTACAGTGGGCAGATTGTACCAACGCAGCGCGAGATCGCATATGCCGAACGGTTGTGCACAAGCTGGTCAAGGTTGATGGGAGACGAGTGGATGGAGTTTCAACCGCCATAGTCATTATTATTATCATCGTTATTATGGTTTTCATCATGATGTTTCATTATCCTCATCAGGGGACCGATGCAGAGAAGACTTCTTTTTCTGTTCTGTGCCCTGAAATCCCTAGCCGCGAATGAGGACAGAAATGCTATCAGATGGTCATGGTGATTGGAGCTCATGTACAGTCAGCCACCTTGTTGGCAACGGAGCCAACATGTGTGCACCGTTGATTGACCAGGACAGCTAGGTTTTATTAGATGAAGCCCATGATCTACCTGGCTCGGGGACTCGGTGAGGACTAATGTACTATGACCAGGTCCCGGGGAAGTACTAAGTATTGATATACACCCATTCAGGCAGTAGGCAGTGTAATCATTCTTGTAGATTCGAAGGAGAAGTGGGAAATGGTACTCTGTCGGTTTCGATCATCGATTGTGTTGCGCTGCAGGGTTCTCATTTCTTTTCCATGTTACCACCTTGCTATAGAATCATCGATGGAAAATACATAGGACAGTACAGTACAGTACATACCTATAGCACATACATCCGCGAGGTGGCTGAGTTGAACAGCGGCGCGGAGTGCGCCTGTGCCCTGTCTACAAGTGATGGAGTGAGTGACGACCTTCCTGTAGTGCTAGGTAAGTGGCTGCGGGGCCAATTCCGAACAACGGCCCATCTGAGGACGATTATTGCCACGACCGAGCAGATCGGGAGCTGCCCCATCATGCCAATAATCGTATTGCCTTAGTCAATACATAGTACTAGAGGCCCCTCCCAACCGATCTGGCCGGTTTCCACTGATCTTCCTGTCCCGAATGTTGCTCCCGTGTCTCGCCAACGGAAAATTCCGTCTCGTACCGTGGTCAGTTTTGAGCCTCCAGAGTCCATGGTTCAGTAGTTACTGTACATTCATCCATCCATGATGGTGTCCATGATGGTGGCAGCAGTAGTATTGAGGCTGCGTACCTAGATATTTAGATATTAAGCACTTTACTAAGTACTCCGTAGTGCAACCTTGCACGTAACCCATTGTCAGGTGGGCAAATCAAGTCACTGTGATTTTCGTCGGAAGTGGTGCTGCGCCAACGAGATACAATGCAGCCGGTGCATGTCTGTGTTCGACTAGTAAATTACTGCCCTTCCACCATCAAATCGACTAGCGTCTGGTGCTTGTCCATGCCTACCTACCGGTATGCTTTTGCAAATCGTCTACCGTAAGGTTTCGCTTGCCCAGAGGCGATTGGGAAAGGATAATCATGAGACTCGTCAAACTGGCGAATCTACGGTGATGCCGAACCGGATCGAACTGAAATTTCTTTCTTGCTTTTGTTGATCGGGAAAGGGTTTAAACAGTAAGTTCCAGATGGAGACCCAACTGATTACCCAGTCTAGTCTTGAAAAGCTGACTACTGTAAGTAACAAGAACTTAAGTAAGTATTGAGTGCCAAGTGGGTAGGGAGACTAGGCCCTTCAGGGTCATCGTAGCCGGCGTGAACACGCCAATGAAGACAACGGGAGATGGGACGTGGTGCCAAACTCGTCATCATCTTCTGACATTTTCCATTCCACAGAAGAAAGAAATTGGGGTAACGATAAAAAGGCAAGTGAGAAAAATAATTGGTAAAAAAAAAAATAGGGAAGTAAAAAACAAAAAAGAAATGTTCATAAGAAAAAGGCAGCAAGCAAAGAGGGACGTGGTAATTACTCCGACTAAACCGGGTTGGGGATGAAGCCTCCTTCCCAGGACTCCCTAGCGTATTCTCCGGCCGATGCAACTCTTCGCAACTCTTCGCAACTCGCAACTCCCGCCTCACCGCTGCTTTGTTGTGTCTGTGTCTGTGTGTGTCTGTGTGTGTCTGTGTGTGTCTGTGTGTGCGCTTCACTTGCTGTTTAGTGCCTGCTGCTTAGTTCCACTTCCACTTCCCACTGCTTTGCCCTTTCAATCATCACCACGGCCTTTTATCCCATCCCCACCTGCTTAGTCCCTTCTGAGTAGCCTGGTAAACTGACTAGACTACTATCAGTAATTCTCTAATTCTCAAAAGCCATGGCCTCATGCTATCCGCCCGTCCGCCTTCGGTTTCTTTTACTCGGGCTCATTTGATTGTCCTTTGCATCCCCCGGATTCTGATTCTGATTCTGGGCTTTTCTCTTCCTCAGGCTCATCTCGCCCAGCTGCTGCTGCTGTTCCATCCCATCATCCACTTCTTTTTCTTTCTTCTCCTTCTTATTTGTTTTTTGTACCACCCACAACTGTTTGTGTGTGTCTCTCCCTGTGTGTGTGTGCGCGCGCGCGTGTGTGTGTGTGTGTGTGTCTCCTCTGTGTCTCTCTATCTTAACTACTATCTGTGTGTCTTGCTTTCTCCATCCATCCATCCCCTCTTCCCCCCCTCCGTCTATCGCTTGGTCTCCTGTCACCTCATTCTCCTCTTCTTTACGTTTCCTTTCCCTTATCCTCTTGCTGGTTCCGGTTTTTCTTACTCTTTCTTTCCTTTGCTTCTTTGGATAAGTCTCCCTCTTAACGAAATCTGTTTGATGCCCTCGTTTCCTTTCTTCCCTCTCTATCTTGGTAAATAGTCTCGGCGGTCACGATGTCCAACGTCGATTTATCCAGTGACGGCTTCATTGGCCTAGACTACGACTCTAGGAACTATCTCCAGGCGACGCCATGGCCCGTGGCAGTGGATCACCAGCCCTCCCAGAGACCCGATGGATCGCGAGATATCTCGCCCTTACAAACCAGCGGTCACGCCTATGATCAGTCGGTAGTCCAAGACCCTAACTTGATCGTTGACTGGCAATTCCACGGGCAGCATTTGCAACCCCACCTTCAGTACACTCAAGAGGAAGCGTCGTCCGCCCCTCAGTACGCTACCGCCAGCTATGGCATGCCCCTCCACTCTTCGCCCGTGGATCTGATGCCCCCAACCCATGACCATATGAGCACGAGCCTGTTGGATGGGCCCTACTTGTCACTGTCCGCTCCAGTGGAGATGGTGCCATTTCCCTATCAAGACTTCCAGGCCGACCTCATGGGTTTCACGGCCCCCCACGGTCTCCCGGATATGACCTCCTATGCGGCGCCGCACAATCTGATCGAGAGCAGCTCACCGACCGACACTTATCTGGAGGTCCGGTCTCTCACCAGTTCAAGCAGCGACAACGGTTGGAATACCATTGAGACCCGGCGCCCTCACGAGTTCACCTATCCAGATCAATTCTTCATCAATCCTACGCAGACGCTACACGACAGGAGCTTGTCAGAATCGTCCTACTCGACGTCTTACGGCAGTTTTGTTGAGATCGCCAATCCGATCAACTCTCCTGGCTCTGACACCAACTTCGATGCGGCTTTCAACAACAGCTTGACCCGGCGTGTGTCCTACGACCACACTTCGCACGGCTCAGTGTCCCCCACGGCAGTCAGCCCTGTGAACATCGTACGACCCGTTCCGGTGCCTTCGAAGAAGCCGACTTCTCCCCGATCGGCCGCCTCGCAGTCATCTTCTGCTTCACCCCCGAGCAGAAAGCCTTCTCGCAAGAGCCCGATTGCTGCGAAGACCGCCGAGACCAAGGTCCGGAAGCAAACGCAGAATGGGAAGCCGGAGACCACCGAGAAGCGAATCGGCAAGCGCAAGGGTCCGCTCAAGCCCGACCAGCGGAAGCAGGCCAGCGAGATACGGAAGCTGAGAGCTTGCCTGCGTTGCAAGTTCCTCAAGAAGACTGTAAGGCTCATCGCAATCTTAACGGGTATGGTTTGTGCTTGCTAACTTGATTGCTACCAGTGTGACAAAGGTGAACCTTGCGCCGGTTGTCAACCGTCGCATGCTCGCCTGTGGCAGGTTCCGTGCACCCGTATTGACATCAAGGAAATCGGCTACTTCATGAAGGACTGGAAAGCAGACTATGAGCGCCACATCTCCCTTGGATTCTCGGTTGGGAACATCAAGGGTTTCTCGGAACACGAGACGACCCTCTTCATCACTCACGGCTATGGTCAGATTCTCCCGATCAACGCTCGTGAGGTGTATGTGCGAGACGAGCAATGCTTCAGCGTTGACTGGGTTGAGACCATGCATCGCGAGCCTACTCAGTTCGAGGTTGAAACCGCCAAGTTGTCTGCTGGGATGGAGGGTATCTCGCACGCTATGCTTTCCGAATATCTCGATCGCCACATTGATGGCAACGGTACCTTTGAGAAGTTTGTCGACGACTACTTCGAGGGCACGCCTTTCTTGACCCAGATGCTGAAGACCGCTTTCCGCTACTATTACCGCACGAAGCTGCCGGTCATTCGCAAGGCCTTGAAGCTCATCATTGCCTACAATCTGACGCTCCACGTGACTATGGTCGAAGGTCTAGGTGAGGAGCAATGCATGCCTGGAAAGATCGATTCATCATCATCGCGGTTCAAGGGCAAGACGATGGCCCCAGTCATGATCAATTTTCAGATCAAGTGTGCCATGGCCAACATGTGGCGTGAGTTGCAGAAGGATGTGCTGGAGGAGCTATCAAGCCTCTACTCCAGCGTCTACAGCGGCGACAAGTTGAAGAACTGGCCCACCATCTTCATCCTGGCCTCGATCCTTCTCGCAGTCTGGGAGGAAATGCAATTTGACTGCCACTACCGTACACCAGTGAGTAGCTATGAACTTGAATGAGATGGAAACAGGAACTGACCCCCGCTCAGGAACCTGCTGCAGTGGAGAAATTCTGCAACGATATGGAGACCACCCCTGTTGGCGTCATTGTTGGCCTATTCCAGGCGATCTCACAGAAGCTTCCCGCCTTCACGGACTGGGAGACCACGAAACATCACCACCTGCTGCACTCGAACCCTGATGTCTGTACCACGATGACTGAGGTCCGCCAGCACGTGACTCAGTTTGGTATGGTTTTCTTGCGCTTTTTCGTCTGGCTGGTTGACTTACTAACGTCCAACAACAGAGAACTATCTTCGTGGCCGGTCCAGTACCAAGTTCAACCGCAACGACTTCGATTGTTTGTCGAACAAATTTGTTTCAAGACTTGTGATTCGTGCGAATTAGATGACGTGTTACGGCTCTGAAAATGACGGAAGACACGATACAAACGATGATATATGCCGGCATTGATGATTATGACACTCACAGCACAGCAATTAGCGATCGCATCGCTCTGTTCGCTCGTACTTTCCCGCCGTTGTCATCATGATGCTTTTTTTTTGTTGTCTGAGTTTCCCTCCAGCAGGGGAGACGAGTACCGACTCTGCCGGTTCTAGGAAGCATTTGCCCTTGCTTTTATCCCACCCTTTCCTTCTCAGTGGTATACCTTTCTCGCACCATATTTGCAATAGCGATGATGAGGATCACGAATGTCATGATATTGTACGGTCACGAACTGTTTAGCAGCGGATGACGGATACAGCTTCGTTGCGACTGATGCTGGAGCCTAGTGCTCCCATTTGACGCCGCGGGTTGCCTCTGGAGTCCTTGATTAGCGAGTATGTTTGAGTGTCTGTTATAGGAAGAGTTTGTTTTGATTTTGATTTGGATATTTATTTTTTGGTTATGATCGGAATATCGAGAGCCGTTGGGAGGCGGAACGCCAAGACCCATCCATGCCTCAAGGGAAAACGTGCAAGCATGCTCAGTTTTGATTCATGTCACCAGCTTATAAAAAAAATGCAATTGATATGATGTCACGTTATGGGGAGAATTCAAGGGGAGGGCTGGATGTAGTGGATGTTGAGAACATGCTTGTAGCAGCATCTGCATTGCGTCAAGCGTGACGCTGTCTGGGTGTTTTGCAGACTAGTTGCAATCCACGGGAAGGGGTTCATTCATTCAATCAGTCTGGATTGGAAAATCCGGGGGAGGGTGATTACCTAACCCAACCTCGGCTCAACGCTCCCAACAGATCAACAGATCCAACTGGAATCATTTCTTCCACCCGCAGTCTACAGTAACTTAGAAGCCAAGAAGGGTGTCATCGCAGACTTCAAGGTTGCTTCAGCCCTTGTTCAACACCAGCACATTCCGGCCAGAAACCTGGAGGCCAGCGATCTAGATACTCCGGCCGTTCGATTCCCAACCTACAGCCTTACCTCGACCTTTTTTTTATTCGAATCGGATGTCAGTTCTCCATTCCGTTCATTAATCACACATCTCATTCCCAAACAACAGCCCCCCTCCACAATTCCTCATTCTAACATCCCTCCTCACCAGAACCCCTCACAGGCCACCAATTGACCCTCACCAACAGCAAACCACAAAAGATGTCACCCAGCACCACCGCCAAGGCCCCTCCCAGGGGGGCACCCTCCTCTTCCACCACCTCCCGGTCCTCCGCCTCCCCGCTCACGAAACCCTACCTCACCCTCTACAACGCGCTCAACTTCATCCTCTGGGCCACCTGCACCGTGCAGGGCCTCACGCACCTCGCGACCGGCACCCCGCCGCCCCTCATCTTCCAGCACGTCTACCCGCTCCTGCGCCTCACGCAGACCCTCGCGCTCCTCGAGATCCTGCACAGCCTGGCGGGCCTCGTGCGCGCGCCCGTCACCACCACCGCGATGCAGGTCGCCAGCCGCATCCTCCTGGTCTGGGGCATCATGTCCCCCTTCCAGGGGCGGATCGTCGGGGCGACTGCCCTACAAACCGGCGACTACGCCTTCCTGGGCTGCCTGACCGCCTGGGGCGTCACCGAGTGCATCCGGTACGGGTTCTTCGTGGGTCAGGTCTCCGGGCTCGGCGTGCCGGCGTGGTGGGCCTGGCTGCGCTACAACACCTTCTACGTGCTGTATCCGTTGGGCATCGGGAGTGAGTGCGTGATGGTCGTGCTGGCGTTGGCGCCGGCCGCGGAGATGGTCGGGCCCGCGTATTGGTGGTTTTTGGTCGTCGTGTTGGGGATTTATGTGCCTGGTAGGTTTTTCCTTGCCTTTTGGGGATGGGGGGATGGGGGATTGGGTGATGCTAATTGTGGATGTTTTTGGGTCAGGCTCGTATATTCTCTACACGCATATGATTGCTCAGAGACGCAAGGCGTTGAAGAAGAATTGATGGGTTGGTTGTGGGTGTGGTTGTTGGTGTGGTGTGGGTTGGTCTGTTTGGAGGGACCGAGATTTGCCGGAGAGTCCCGTACGGAGGACTGTACACTGCATGTATCAAGTGGTATCACGATAATAAGGCGGCACTGCGCTGCGCTGCGCTGTACTGTTGTGCAACAGCACAGAAAGTGGGCGGCGTTGCATGTTAGACGACCTAGGTAGGTTTGGGGTGATGTGTATGTTATGGTTTCATGAATAGATATCACATGTACTGTATATGTAGGCAAATAACGCTGACCACATCATCTCATCTCATCTCATCTCATCTCATCTCATCTCATCTCATCTCATATCATATCATATCATATCATATATCCGGAGTATGGTATATGTGCTATGCTATAACTCCTTCATGATATCGCGGACCGCTTTGGCAGCGAATCGCTTCCGTTCCGTTTTGGGTAACCCGTCGCTCATATCTGATTGTCGGTCAGCCAGGAATGGCACAGGAAAAGAGATCAAACTCCAAGAAAATATTACGCACCTTTGATAGCTCGCATCCGCAGCAGCAGCGCCTCCACCGCATCCACCCGCAGCTCCTCGTCCGCCTCATCCTCCTCGACAAAGTAATCGTCGCTGCCGCGCTCGATCGCCATGCGCAGACCGACCATCTCGCGCTCCAACTCATTCACTTCGAAACCGAACCCAGCCTCCCCGGCGTCCTCGTCGTCGAGCCCCAAGAGCCGTCTCTCCAGGTCGTCGTCATCGTCATTGCCGATTCCCATCTCCACACCCGCGGTCTCCTCCGCTGCACTCCAATCATGCGTTTCCAACACTTCCTTAACCCGCCGCATGCCTTGCAATTCTAACAGAGAAACAAAGTCAGTCCAGATTCCCAATCCCGAATCCCCAAAACGGGGTAAGGAAACAACAAACCTCCATATCGATTCCTCCCCTCATCCTCCTCCTCCTTGTCCGCTGCACTCCCCTTCGGACACCACCGCACAACCTCCCACCCCATCAACCCCATCTCACACAATTGATCCTCCCACCACCCCACGGAAAACGGCTCATCGATCTCCACATCAAGATGATCATCCAGATCATCCAGATCATCGAGCCCATTCGCATCACCACCACCACTTCCCTTCACCTTCCTCTGGGCAGCGCCAGCACCAGCAGGAGATGACGAAGCATCCACTAGGACCAACAACCCAGGAACTTCCCCAACCCCCATGCCCCCCCTCTCCTCCTCTATCAAACCCCGCACTTCCCCAATAGCGTGGATGAACTCCTTCAATCCGCGAACATCCGCCCGATCTTCGGCCTGCTCCGGCTCTCGGTTGGTGATGGGAACCGTAGGCCCCGGAGGTGATGCCGAATTTTGTAGGAATGATGCAGCGTCATGGGGGTGCTGATGCGGATGGTCCACCGGATTGCGGACGCAGATCATCACGGCGCCGATGGCGTCGCGGACGACCTGGGCGTCCGGGCCGGAGAATTCGGTCTTCCATTGTGCGGGGGAGGCGGGGAGCAGCGGGGTGGTGGTTTCTGATGTTGCCGAGAGGGGGATCTCGTCAACCCAGATGGGGATGTCGGCCGTGTAGTAGCGGTTCTGGATGGGGAGAGGCGGGTGCGTGGTGTAGCCGGCGAAACTGGTGCTGGGGATCGTCGTTGGGGAGGCTGTTGATGAGGTTACGGTGGCGGTTGACGCGGCGGAGGAGGCTACGAGGGTTGTCGTTGAGGAGAGGGCTGTTGTAGTTGTTGTAGATGTAGATGGTGGCTCGGTGACAGGTGCGCCGGTGAGGGTGTGGAGGAGAGGGGGGATGATGGTCGTGGAATGCGAGCTGGGCGAGAGGATGAGAAGACGGCGCGGATTGCGGATGAAGTTTCTGGTGCCGGTGGAGGGGTCGTCGGGGGCCATGTTGAGGTTAGGTGGAATCTTGGTTGGGTTGGGGAGGTTTGTGCAGACTGTGAGAGAGACAGAGAAAAAAAAAAAAAGGGTGGTGATGCTGAAAGTTGCTGGTGGTGCGGGTGCGGGGAGGAGGCGGAGGAGAGAAGAGACAGCGCGGAAGTTGTAGTCGCCTTCCTTCGTATTACCTCTCTGCACTTCGTTTCGGGTTCCATGGACCACAAGAATGTTGTTCACGAGCCTTTGCATAGACGCCCGCCTGGCAACGCAATCGATTGGCGCTGCGCATCCCCGCTCCAAAGTACGTAGCTAACGTTCCATCGAACCGACGCGCGGACGGTTGCTCCCAAAAACCAGTCCGATCTCCCCCCTACAGGACGTATACGATCGATCTATCCCACAGCTACCAGGTATCCATTTTCTCCAAAACAAAGGGCCAATCGTCATTCGATTTTCGTGTAGTATATTCGATTCAATGGAATCACCCCCCGACCGACCCAGATCCAAGGTTGCAGCAGTCCATAACAGAAAAAGAAAAGCAAACGCCGACCAAGTCAATGATTATCCACCTCCCTCCCCAACATCATCATCAAATCACACATTTCTATCCTCAGCCCCGTCGCTGGCCCCGAGCTCTCTGCACAGTGGCCTTACCACGAGCCAGACCGACACCGCGGCCGCGCTGGCCTCGCGAGCGGAACATGGGGGCGTTTCTAAAAACGGCCAGTTAGCTAATGCTCCGCGAAAGACAATCTCCGGCGGTTGGAAGAGAAGGAGAACCAACCTCAACATGTCCGGCACAATGAAGAACTTGACATGGCTTCCCCGGATGTAGACCTGATCCAAGTGTGACACGCGACCGTCGCGGGCGGTAACCGTGATATCCTTCAGTTGAACGTTCATGTTATCCTCGGCTATAATATGACGGAAAAAAAAAAAAAGTCAGCGACGGTTGTCTTGCAGGTTGGTTTGGTTCGTGCGAGGAGATCGAGGGGAGAGACAACGCACCCTCCAGAAGTTTTCCGCGGTACACGACACCGGACGTGATTTCGAGCGTGACAACGTGGCCCTAGATATGATTTAGCGCAGGCATTCGATAAAAGCAATGCACTAGTGAAGAAGAGGAAGAACCACCCACCTGCGCCTCGTTCAGGAGCTTGATCGGGATCCCGATCGTGCTGGTCAACTTGCCCATTGTGAAGGTCTGGTGGGAGAGAAGCTGGCGGCGGGGGGAGAAAAGAGCACTGAGCGATAACTCGAGAGAAAGTCTGTCGGATAGAGGTCGACGGTAGAGATAGGTTTGGGGAGATCCGTCCTGCGACAATGGATGGTTGGTTGCAAAGGACAAAACTGGCGCTGTTGGACTGGGAGAGGAAGCAACCACAATCCGCTCGACTCGGCGGCGGAGGAGAGTTTTGCGGCTCTGCGGGCGCTGGCCCCGGCCAGTCAGTACGTATTTTTATCCATCCCGCGCATTCACCATCACCACCTTGCGCATTTACATACTCGTTATCAACTTCATGCTATCGCAACCTAATAACTAATCCCAGACAATAAACAAAACAGCGACCCACTGACACCACCAACACCAGAAAACCAATAAAACCCAACCCACCATCCGAAGTTGATTCCTCCGCCATAAAGAAAAAGCTTCACCAAGCTAGCAAGCTATCTCCCCAGCTCGCAAAGCACCACCACCATCACCATCACCAATCCCCCAAACCCCCAACCCACACACCCCCAAACAGGCACAACAAAAAAATGAATCCCCCAAACAGCAACCTCCGCGCCTTCAACCTCGCCGTGACCACGCTCCTCAAAAATCCCTCCCACATCCTCCCGCACCTCACCATCCCAACCATCACCCAGCTCCCCGAGCACCTCGGCCCCGCGATCTCCGCCTCCCTCACCAGCAGCAGCAGCAGCAGCAGCAGCACGCCGCAAGAAAAACCCCCGCAAATCCACATCCGCGCCCTCATCCTCGACAAAGACGCCACGCTCTGCGCCGCGCAAACCACCACCTTCCCACCGGAGATCCTCGCCAAACTGACCGCGCTGCGCACCGCCCCGACCTCCCCCTTCAACCAGACGGCCGCGCCCAACTCGATCCTCATCGTGTCGAACCGTGCGGGGAGCCACCCGCGCTACGACGACGAGGTCCGTAGCCTGGAGACGCAGCTGGCGGGGCTCGCCATCCCGGTGTTCCGGCTGCCGCCGGGTGTGGCCAAGAAGCCCTTCTGCGGGGCGGAGGTGCTGGCCTGGTTCCGGGAGCGCGGGGTCGTGGCGCGCGCCGACGAGATCGCCGTCGTGGGCGATCGGCTGGGCACCGATGTGCTGATGGCGCGCGAGATGGGCGCGTGGAGTGTCTGGTGTCGGGATGGGATCGATCCCCGCGGGACACGGGAGGGGGCCAATGTGCTGGAGCGCATGGAGAGGTGGGTGGAGCGGTATCTTCGGGTCAATCGCGGGTTGAAGGCGCCCGTACCGAAGGGGTTTGCGGAATGATTCTTGGTCTTGTGGGGAACGGGTTCCTTGGAGTGAGTGGGAGACAATTCGCGTGGATTGGTGCTGTACGATATTTTGAGATGGGCGGGTTTGCGGGTGGGTTCACTGGGTGTAGACTTGGATACGGTGGAGTTTGATACCCTGCATTATAGATTTGAACAGATCGAGTTACATACCCTTTACATCATGATCAGGTGGTCCCGGAGGAATGGTCTTCATATCAGCCGAACTCTAAATACCCTGGCGAAGATTGTCTCAGCCTCGCATCGGAAGAAGATGGTAGATAATATTTGACAGGATCACCTCGCTCAAGGCACCAAATAACCGTCACAAAAGGAATATGCAAACATGTCCTAACCCGCCAACCCAAGAAACAAAGAGAAGATAAACCAACTGTCGCCGTCTTAGTCCGACTTTCTGGCATAACCACGTTAAGCACCCCTGACCGGATGTGAGAAGAAAAAAGAAAAAATAAAATAAATGAATAATGGTCAGGGGCAGTGAAGAAGCATCAAAAAAGGCGCATCCAAGTGCGATCGATAGAAGGAAAGAAAAGGCGCTGTGTAACGCTCAGGACCAGCCCCACAGAAGAATAAAAGTACAGAAAAAGACACGCTGAGGACACAATGTAAGGGAGATTGGATCCTTCTCGTCGAAATCATTCGACTTCGGGTCTCAGATAAAAGGTTGAAAAGGCATTCGTTAGCCCTGCTGAAGGGTCAATCGAGTTGTGTCTAGGTATGAGTGACACTATCCGGGTCGGGTTGAGTCAGACTCATTGATTCGAATGTTAACCAGAAGAAGACGGCAAAGGATGAACCCAAGTGCCAAAATTTGTTTTCCAAACTCGTACGGCCAGACTCAAGAGCCGGGCGCCATTGTGTGGGGATCCACGCTCTCGAGAGTCAGACTCTGGAATTCACCCTGGACACCGGGAGAAGTGTGTCCAGACATCGACTGCATGGGTAGATCAAAAGCGCTGCTTTCAAGCCCCATGGATTGGGGGACACCAAATGTCATGTTGTGCTTGGTATACATTCCATTCATCCCCATCCCCTCATCCGAGTAACTTGTTTGGTGCTCATTGCTCAGACCATACATATCTTGCGATGTGTGCGAGATGTTGGAGAGTGGTGGCGAATGGTTGGCAATCATGGGGTCGGCATGGCCAAGACTAGGATAGGAGGCCGCCTGATGTGCCACTGCTGAGTCAACAGCGGGCGTGACAAATGGCAAGGTGAACGGGGTTCCCATGTTGGTAGCAACGGGGGTCGAATCACCACCTGCACCAGTACTGAAAAGTCCCGGGCTGGCGAAATCAGACGGAGACGCGGTAGTTGTAGCCGACATGGGGTGGGTTCGTGGATCAAACCCGTAACCGGCAGATGTATCGATACGCAGATTCAGGGCCAACGGATGAGTGGATTGTGGAATAGGGGCAAAGATCCCAGTGTCTGGTTGGCCAAAATGCGCAGGGGCTTGAGAGAAGTTGTATTGGGCAAGCGGCGCCTGCATTGCAGAGAAGTCGACAGCTACCGGAACCGAACGACTCCGTTGCCGCTTGTGACCACGGACCGCCTGAACGCTCAGGTGGGTTGGGGTCTCGGGAAACACATTCAGGTAGGCTTGTGCGAATTGATTGGGCTGAGATGCAGGGCGCTGGATGAAAGGGGGCGACATGGGCGGATTCATAGCAAAGTTATTGTATGCCAGGCGGTTTTGGAATGACTCCAGGGAAACGAGCTTGGCGAGCTGGACGCTGAGAACCTTCGGATGGCCTCCGAGATGGTGAACCAGAATTTGACTTGCTTGCTGATCTTCTGTGAAGTCACCGCACTGATAAAAGCCACCAGAGTTGGATGAGTCCATGTAAAACAATGGAGGTCGATTTAGTTCCACAACTAGACCGCCCGTCCGCGCGGGGGCGCCATTTGGTCCGGGGGTCTGGTCACCAGACTCCAATGTGATGTTCTTGATGTAGGCAAAGGGGTATTCGATCTTGTATCCGGCAGAGTCGTTGTTGATATAGTAAGTCATGCATGCTTTCTCCGGGGAATAGAAGACAACGAGATCCATTGCGTTTTGTCCAATGCGGCGCCAGCTGCCGATAGTTAAGGAACGGCATGTGAAGTGATGAATAACTATGCCAGTCAGTCTCAATGTCACGAGTGCACCAGTGCTCGACCAACATACCAACTTTGCCAGAGGGGGTCGGCTCATGAGGGTAGGCCCCATTGGTTCCGTAGCCCCCTGTCCGGCCGAAGGGGTCTCTTGCACCAGGCTTGCTGGGGTCGAATTGCATTGCCAGATATTGGCGCATTGATTCGGGGATCGAATCGCATCCTTCGCCGGTTTCAATGCTCTTCTTCGCAAGCATCTTAATCTTAGCGCGTCTGCGTCGGCGCGGTCAGTACGTTCACTTCCGATGTGCGCGGAGAGGTCACCCACCTGTTTTGAAACCAGATCTGAACGGACCGCTCAGTCATGTTGATATCTTGGGCGATCCTTTCACGAGTAGCAGCGGTAGGGGTAGGGTTTTTGTTGAACTCGACTTCGAGTGTGACCAATTGGTCCTGAGTCGCGCGCTGGCGTTTGTTGTTCTTCTGTTGTTGCGTCAAGGTACTCTTCCTCTGAGGACGGCGTGCGGCGGGAGCAGTAGTGGTAGTGGTAGCATTGGACATGGCGGGGGATGGCGTGGAGGTTTCCGAGGGAGACGAAGTTGCCGTAGCTGCTGCTGTGGTGGCAGAGCATGGGGTGGTGGAAGGGTCAGGAGTGTCTGTCGAAGACATGTTTGCAGGGATTGGGCGAAATGGTAAGGTAGTAAGACGAGAAAAAAGGAGATACGACCAAAGTGGAAACAGATGCTCCGAAGTGTGTAGGGAAGGGTTGAATTTTGGTGACGATCCGGTCGACAGTCAAATGGGGATGGGATATCGGTCTCTCTGTAGCAGCGTCAAGCGCGAGAGAATCGTGGTGAGATCAAACGAATGGAAGCGCTTTGGCTGTGAGACACGGGGTGGACTCGAAGACACAAAGCTTGAGGGGGCGGGACAAAAAGCGCGCGTCGCGGAAGCGTCGATTTGGGGGGTTGATAGTTCTAGTCAAGAAGCGGGATGAATGTAAACAGCTGACCTAGGCAGCTTTTCGAGGTGAAAAGAATCGATGACTTCGTTAGCCTGAGACAGAAGTATATAATTCCGTGATCAGGTCTCAATTGGCGAAGAGCCGAGATGTAATATTGCGGATCTTGGTTGAGAGATCTCGGCCTAAGGTAAGCGAAGACAAGGAGATTTGATCGGGGGATCGTGAAAGAGTGAAACGATCGACTGAAGCGAGCGGATAGTGGTAAGTGAAAGAATGGAATTGAAGTAAAAACAACAAGAAACGAGTGAATGGGGTTGGGGAGGGGG